AAAAAAATAAAAAAAAATTCCATCGAATAAGACAGTTTAAAAAACAAAAAGAAAACAGATGCATTTACAAAGAAAAAAAAATTATTTTTAGATAAGTAACGATAATAATAATAATAATAATAATAATAATAATAATGTGACAACTTTCCGCCATTGGTTTAAAATTAAAAAGAAAATTCTACGATAACTTATCACGACAACCTACGAAATATTAACGTCAAAAAAAAAATTACAAAAAGGGAATCCCCTCATTTAAAAAACAAAAAAATAAACCTTTTGCCCTTTTTTCGGTAAAATTTTACGACCGTTTAATATTATTATTATTATTATTTTCACATCTCCATTTTTTTTTTTTTTTTATTTATTTCTAATTAAAAAAATATAAATAAAAATTTCACGTTTGTGAAGCCCAAAAGAAAAAAAAAAAAAAAAAAATTTAATTCGAATTTTTCTAAATCGTTCAGGTAAGAATAATTTTTTTTTTTGCAAGGAACGAAACCCCTCACAATCAAAAATTTTCTCTTCTTCTTCTATTGTTACCCTTATTAGTCCCTAAAAAAAAATTTTTTTTTGAAGGCCGATACAGTTTAAATGATTTACTCACTTTAACCTGAATTCTCTAATACAACAATAAGAAAGAGAGAGAGAGAGAGAGAGAAAAAGGAAAAGGTTTTCATGTCTCAGAGAAAAAAGGTGAGAGAGGGAGGAAAAGTGGAAGAAGATGCAAGAAAAAAAGGGGGGAATAAAATAAAAGGCAAAGAATTAAAAATTAAACAACGGTTTTCTAGTTAGACAAAAAAAAAAAAAATATGACGTACGTATGTAGACGTTTTGCCTTTTCTTTTTTTTTGGGGGGGGGGAGGGGGAACCGTAAGAAAAACAATAATAATGATTTTTTGGGAAAACGTAACAAACGACAGGAAATAATCGAAATTTTTAAAAAAATGATTACCCCGAAAAAATTTAAAATGTATGACGTAAAACAAAACAAAAAATAAATTCCGTTATAATTATAACGGGGGGGGGAGGGAAGGGAGGGAGAAACGTTATAATTTTTTTTTACATACCTGGTGACTATGAGAAACTTTAAGGGATTATTTTGATACAGGCACGTGTCCCAAATTGTAACAAAAAAAAAATCCTTTTCCATTGATTTTTTCTAACAAAGGCGTTTCATCATCTTCGGGGTTAAAACCCTAAAAAAAAAAAAAAAAAAATTTTTTTTTTTAAAATTTACCCTTGAGAATTTTTTTTTTTAGGGGGGGGAGGGGGTTTGGTTGGCACCTTTTTATCCGGAAAGGCAAAAAAAAAAATTTATTTTAACTATTATTACGATGACGTAATTTTAATATTTAATTATTATTGGTTAATCAATTAACGAATTTTGATTCAATCAATCAATCAATCAATCAATTTCGAAAAGAGAGTAATTAAAAATAACGTATATTAACCATCGGTATAAATTAACAAAAAGAGAGAGGGGGGAGAGAGAGAGAGAGAGTAAAACAAAAAATTCGACAAAAAAAAATTTCGGATACTAACAACGTTCAAACCTTTTTTTTTTTTTTTCTCTTTTCTCGGGGGTTCCCTTTTACAAATTAATTTTTTTTTAATGAAATTCAATAAGGACTAAAAAAAAAAAAAACGTGGAAGAAGATAATATTTTTTTGTACCTCATTAACTGTCTTATTTGCATTTAAATCCCTCGCGTCGTATGTTTTTCTCCCATTCCAAAAAAAAAAAAATCGTTAAAATTTTTTTTTTTTCTTTTTTTGCTATCGTTCAATTTTTGCGGCGGCACGTTAATTTACAATAATAATTATTTTCTCCTTGACGAAGCGAAAAATTAACGTTTTCATCAAATATTTTTTTATTTTTAATTTAAAAAATAACAATTACGTTAAATTTCTTAAAAAAAAAAGAAAAAAATACATGAGTTAAATTATTATTATTATTATGTTTTCTGGGACACTCACGTGTAGAAGTAACGATTTGCAATAAGGAAAAGAGGGAAGGATGGAGGGAAGGAAGGAGGGAAGGAAGGACAAACCTACAAAAACACGTTGTAAATTATATTATAAATGGATTGCTCATCTTGAAATTTTTCGTACCTGAAAACGTGTCACAAATTAAGGAAAAAAATTTTTTTTTAAATGGAAGGAATACAATGATTTTTTTTTTCATTCGATTTAATTTTAGACCCTAAAAATGTGATTTTTCGTCTGCAGAACAGTTCCGTTTCGTCAACGGTTTGATTTTTAGGGGAGAGGAGGGGGGGGGTTAAAAAATCACCCAACCGAAAATTCTAATTATTAAACTAGTTTAAGGAACCATTAACACCACCCTAACCTTACCTATACATTTTTCCCGTTTTCATTTCCGTTAATTAGGTATTTCTAGAAATTTATTATTATATGTCAACAACGTCGGCGGCGGTGGCGGTGGCGACGACCTACGTCACATACCCCCAAATTTATTTCGTCTGCGTGGGTGGGTTGTAAATGTGACAATTTAGAAGGGTGAAAGTAAAATAAATAATTAATAATTGTCGAGGCTATGAGAATTTAGGTGGTCTAAATTGCCAAGTGTCGGATCGAACGCGTGATAGGAAAAAAACAATAATAATGATAATTTTTTCCTTTAAAAATATGAAGAAAAAAACCGTTATAATAATAAATAAGACAAAAAATTAACAGGTGAACGTAAATCTCGTTCGAAATTTTATTTTAATTTGAATTTTTTTCAAATGAAATTTTGTTTCGTGTATTAATCAATCGAAAATGATAATGATGATGATGATGATGATAAAAAAATAAATAAATAAATAAATAATAAATCTGTTAAAAAGTAAATATATCTTTTAACGGTTGATTAAGGGGTTGATTTAAATAGTCGGCCTAATAGTCGTATTAATGAGAAAAGTCATGTGTTCAAACCGCTGGTGGTTTAACGGTTCTACTATTCCCATATGTCATCGCCTTTCAAACACTTTCATCCCACGGGATACTTTTTTCTGTTACTTTTTTTTTTCCCATTTACACACACACAAACACACTCACACACCGAAAAAAAAAAAAAAAAAAGTTTTATTTTAAATTAGTTTAATGGATTTTTTTTCTTTTTTTAATTAAAGTTACAGAGCTATGGCCATGCTGTTGTCACACTTATCATTTAAAAAAAAAAAACCACGTGATTCGAAATCAAAAAAAAAACAAAGAGAGAAAGCCCCCCCCCCTCGTTATGATTTTATCCGCGTTGTTTATTCCCATTAAATCCTTTCATTCCAGGTTTTCATTCATCAGGAATCATACTTTCTACATTTAAATTGTACTTAAGCGGCTCCCGATTCTCCTACAAAGTCCATTTTTCTCATTATTATTATTATTATTATTATTAAAAAAAAAAAAACTTTTTCGATAATTTCATCTCGACATGTTCAAACATCAACATAAATTTCATTCTCTTGGATACATTTTTTAAAAAAATTTTAAATTTATAAAAAGGCGGCGTCTTAACGCTTAAAAAAAAAAAAAAAAAGAGGCGTTAAACAAAAGTGCCATCCCTCAATGAGAAAGAAAGATAGAGAGAGTGGGGATCCTCCTCCCCTTTCTCCCCGTTTAAATATTTAAATATATATTTTTTTGTTGTTGTTTCGGTTTACAATGTTTATACCACATCACAAACGAGGCTTCCCGACGTTGTAATTTAATTAAATAATTATTTATTTAAATTAAATTTACAAATTAAATTCGATATTATTATTATTAAGTAGATACATTAATTTTATTATTCCTATTTAATTGAAATTCATCAATTTTATTTAATTAATTAATTAATTAATTAATTTTTTTTCTGTCTGTTACTGATCGAATCACGTTAAGTTTTTTTTTTTTTTTTTGGAATTTAAAATAGTTTTCGCGTTTTTGTGAATTTTTTTTTTTTTTTTCAATCACGAGTTTGTGTTTTGTTATTGTTTAAATAAATAAATTAATATTATTTATTGACCGGAAATGACAAAAATTATAAAATAAGCGGTGCGTGTGTATGTATGTATGAAAGTGCGTGAAACCGACACAAATGTTTGATATTAAATAAAAATTAATAAGTTTAAATGAATTTTATGGATTTTTACACGAACGACATGTCACACGTAAGTTTTCTGTCTTTTTAATTATTATTATTATTATTTAATTAAAATAATATTAATTACCCAATTAAATTTAATAAAATGAAAACTTTTTTGAATTACTTGTCTGTCGTCAAACGTTTCCGGTTTAATATTTTACAACGCAATCGTCTTCTTTTTTTTAAAGAATAAATTAATAATAATAATAATAATAATAATCTTTATGATTTTTTTAAAGGTTTGATCGATTTTGAAAAAAAAAAAAGAAAATAAAATGATTAATTTTGGGGGTATGATAATGCCACAACATTTATACAGAGAGACAAATAATGGATGTTCGATGCCATGTTCAAATGCCATCTCGTCAGAATTCACAAATTTTAATTCGCCCACATCGACAGAAAATTCTAGAAGATTTTCCGTGACTAGTTTATTAGAAATAAGTAATTTAAATAATGGAAAACCTGAAGATGCCGAACCAAGCGAAAGTAAGTCTCATTGACTTGTTTAAACGAAGAAATTTTTTGATTTTTTTGTAACATTTGTCGGGTATTTTGTAAAAGGAAAAAACTATCATATCAAATTACATTTAAACATGTTGGCAACATTTCAAACATTAATTAACTTATCCTTATTTTTTCTCCAAAATGGGTGGTAGAAATGGGGCGCCAAAACTTTGATATCAAAAACTGACGTACAAAAAAAAACAAAAAAAAACTAAAAAAAACGCCTACGAAAATTTTATTATTATTATTTTTTTTTTTTTGACAAATTAATGTCGACTCAATGTGTAAAATAAGTTCAAAGAAATTGAAAAAAAAAAAAAAAAAAAACAAAAAAAAATTTTTTTTTTTTTTTCAAGTTGGAAATGATCCCAAATGAGAAGTTTTTTTTTAAAAAAAAACAAAAAAAACAAAGAAGAAAGTTACGCTCGGTTGATTATTATTATTATTATTATTATTATTATTATTATTATTATTATTATTATTGTTATTTGAATACCTAATAAATTTACAAGTGTCTAATAGTAAATTTTTTTTAACGGTTTGACACTTTTTTTTTTTTTTTTTAAGAAGACGATTACGTAGATGGGGAAAATGGAAAAATGAAAAAACCGAGAAGAAATAGAACGACATTTACAACAATTCAATTAAGTGCATTGGAAAGAGTTTTTGAAAAAACTCATTATCCAGATGCTTTTGTTAGAGAAGAATTAGCAAAAAGAGTTGGATTGAGTGAAGCACGAGTTCAGGTACGTCACTAATTAAAAATTATAATAATGACGTCATTAATTATCTAAGAAAAAAAAAAAATAATGGTTTCGACTCACCAGTTTCTTTCTCATTCCAAATGATGAAGAAAATCATTTCAATAGTAAAATTTCATTTATAAGTTGTAAATATCAAAAGTATCTTCTTTTTTTACACATCTGAAACATAAATTAATAATAATAATATATTTAAATAAAATAAAAAAAAACGTTACTTTTTTTTTTTTTTTTGTTATTTTTTAAATGGGGGTAAAGTGTTATGATCAATTAAAATTTTACCGACAAACCAAAAGAAAGAATCTTTAAAAAAAAATCTAACGGTTGATCTCCATTTAAAATGAATCGTTCCACATGCGTTAAAAACAATATTTGTTTTTTTAAAATTAATTCTTCATTTAAATTTCAATTAATCATTCGCCAAGTTTTCTTCCCTATTTATTTATATAATGAATTTTTTAAAAAAAAAAATAATAATAGTGTTTCTTTGAGAAATTACCTATTACGAATTTTTATCATCCGTTAAATTAGATAATTTTTAAATTTGTAATTTTTTTTAAAAATAAATTTTCGAATTATGGAATTCCTTTTACGTCGAATCGTGTCGCCTTTTCTTGTAATAAATAATCCGGAGTTTTTTAAACAATTTAAATTTCATGATTGATTCACACACTCAAAGTTCCCTAAAAAAAAGCAAAAAATTTGAATTGAATTAAAAAAACGTTAACGAATTTTATCGGTGAATGATATTATATCGTACAAATATTTACGTCATAAATATAATTTATCAGAAAAAATATTTTTTTATCAAATGAATTGTTAATTTGAAATTTAATATCCATATTGAAAATCAATATTTTAAATATATTGTTTTTTTTTTTTAATATGACGTCATACTTGCCTTGCAAAGTTTTGTTTTTAAATTAGATGTAAAACGTTCGTTTGATACATATTTGAGTTGATAATTACATTGAGAAAATTTAATTATGGTTGTTTTTTTTTACTGCAGGTATGGTTTCAAAATCGTAGAGCCAAATTTCGAAGAAACGAACGAAGTTTAATATCTCATAGCAAACACATATCGACTCCATATAAACCCAATCAAGAAATTCAAAGTATGTTAGAACAACAACAACAACAATCATTAACTTCTAGAACTAACATTTTGTTTAATTCAGGTGAATAATACACTTGAGTCATTATTATTATTTACTGATCATTTAAATGACCACCAGGTGTTTGTGAAAATTAAAGAATTTACGCGTGTCTGATATTTGATCAGAGTATTTAGATACGGCTGCATTACTCTGATTAGTATCTTGTTTTATTTTATTTTTTTTTCAGAAACACACGGTGTGGAATATTTTAGTTCCTCATGGAAGCCCTCCAGTGGTATAGGACCTCCACCACAACATCCAGTTTTTGCCACTCAAAATAATTCTTGCAATGTACTTTCTAAAAGTAAGAAAACTTTAATTTCTTTCAAATTGTTTTTTTTTTTGAGTACTTAAAATATATATTTTGTTTAATTAAAAGGTATATCCTTGCCTTATGGTGCGTCATCATCGTTGCCAATAACATCTTCTAATTTTAATTTTCCTTCAAGTTTATCAAATTTGAGATTTAAGACTCATGAGTACTCATTTAATGTTGCTACTTGTAATATTTAAAAGTATCAACAACACTCAATTGTTAATGCTCAATTAATTGTTAAATAGATGATAGCCTATATTAATAAAAAGCTTATTTAAAATTACTTAAAAATCATTTTTATTAATAATCCTTTATATAATTACTACATATATATATATATTTAAAAGCGTAAAGTGACGTAGTGTCGAATAAAATAAAAGTATTATTACCTTTTTAACTTTATATAACTTTGAAATATATTTATGAGCATAGAAAAGATGAATAAAATATGTTTCCATGAAGTTTTAAATTAGTTAATAATTTCTGTGTAAAGATATACAATATAGTTACAAATATGTAGTAATATACATTAAGTCATTATAACAATTAATATTACCTTGATTTTTAAGAGGAAAATCGAAGAGAAGAAAAAGAATTTTTGTCTTACACAAAAAAATTATTTTAAAAACATTCTTATTTAAATTAACGAAAATGAACAGTACTGGCAACATTATTTAAAATATCATATCGAAATATATCGAACGAGTTTGGCAGTCACTTAATCCGTTTAATCGAGAGTAAGTTTTAATACATAGGACAAGGCTGACTGCAAAATGTCGAAGCCTAGTTCTTATTTAGCTGATAAAATAGACGCATTGGAAAATAAATTTAAAGTAGAAAATGAAAAAGATAAGGATAAAGCGTCTAAAGAATATAATGGCGGTTTGGATGCTCCTAGAGCTGGTTCAGGGCGTAGACCGAGAAACTGTAAGTACCTGCTAAGTTTGCAATAAATTATATAGATATTCTGTTTTTAATATTTGTATGAGCAAATTCTAATCGTGTCAATATTAAAATTTATTAAATAATTAATGTAAAATTAAATTTTATTAGAGCTAATAAAAATCATTTTTGTTTATTGTGTTAAAAAATTTTGACAAGGTTATATATGCTAAAGAATGTGATACCAAAACAAAAACAAGTATATTGCACAAGATAAGGTGAATATTTTTGAATATTTATTGGCGTATTTAAAAATACTTTTATTAGCTTTTTTAAAGTTATTTTTAAATATTTATTATCATTATTATTTCTTCAATTAACTTCTCCTTCTGAATTGATTAAATTTTTTTTTTTTTTTTACTTAATTTATTATTGAAGTACATATTTGACAGAGTATTTAATTAACTATATATCTAAACTTTTACACAAATTTATTATAATAATGTGCAAGTTATAGTAAGTTATAAGTTTTATTTAGTGTTTTTATTTTGTTTTAAAAACATTTGATTCGTTTTAGTGACTGAATTATCAATGTCGGGTGGAACGCAATCAACGAGAACTCCTAAAAAATTGTTAGATCTGCCCATGTTTCCAGTTCAACAAAGGGTATCTAATACAGGAGAAATAGATAGGAAAATGCAAGACATTATGAAATTGACTGGTATTTTAGAAATTAATGGAAAAGTAAATTGAACAAAGACAAAAAAATTTTTTTATTTAAACTTTTTTTTTATTAAATATTTTTAACGTTTTAAAAAATATATATAATTTTTCGATTTTTAGAAATATGAAACTGATATAAAAGATCTTGATCACTGCGGTGATCTCGGTAATGGAACTTGTGGTCATGTTGTGAAAATGTTACATAGGCCTAGTCAAACAGTTATAGCGGTTAAAGTAAATTTTGTTTCATAATTGTGCAATTCTTATCTTAAAATACTTCTATTGATATGGTATTAAACTTTTTAGCAAATGAGAAGGTCTGGCAACAGTGAAGAAAATAAAAGAATTGTTATGGATTTGGAAGTAGTTTTAAAATCACATGATTGTCCCTATATTGTACAGTGTTTAGGTTGTTTCATAACAGAATCCGATGTTTGGATTTGTATGGAACTAATGGCGACATGTTTTGATAAGCTACTTAAGAGACTTAAAATATCAATACCTGAAGACATATTAGGAAAAGTTACTTATGCTGTGAGTTAATTTTTATTAAAATTTCTAAAATTTAGATGTCAAGTTATTAAATTTTGTCAAAATATTTAGATTGCATAATAATAATTATAATATTAATGTTGTAATTGTGTAATTTTCTTAAAGACTGTTAAAGCTCTAGATTACTTGAAAGAAAAACATGGAGTAATACATAGAGATGTTAAACCATCAAATATTCTTCTCGATGAAAGAGGAAATGTGAAACTCTGTGATTTTGGTATTTCTGGTAGATTAGTCGATTCGAAACCTCAAACTACGAGTGCTGGGTGTGCTGCTTACTTAGCTGTAAGTTTGATTATTATTAAAATTTATTATTTAAAATATATTAATTGAAACTTTTAAATTCAAGCCTGAAAGAATAGCTCCACAAAATCCTAGTAAACCAGATTATGACATCAGAGCAGATGTTTGGAGTTTAGGAATAACTTTAGTCGAACTTGCAACTGGTGAATTCCCTTACAAGAACTGCAAATCTGATTTTGAAGTTCTTGCCGAAGTCGTAGACGGAGAACCTCCCAAACTGCCACAGGATCGAAACTTTAGTCCAGAATTTATTAGTTTTGTTAATTCTTGGTGAGTGTGTATAAAAATACACTTAAGTCCTTATACAGTGTGTTCGAAGAAAAAAACTCAACATGGATTTTCATTTTCAGTTTAACAAAAAATTACAAGGAAAGACCAAAGTATCGAAAATTATTAGATCATCCATTTATGAAAATGTCGGAAGAATCTAAAGCTGATGTTGCTGATTGGTTTGCGAAGACTGTACCCGTAACCGATATGAATCTTACTGGAAATTCCCCCATAAGGAGGTTATGACATTTCCGTTTCACTAACAAGTTAACTTTATAGTATTGCATGTTCCTTTTTTTTTTTTTTTTTTTTTTTATTACCCTTAGTTTTATAAACAAAAAAAAAAAATTTTTTTTTTCTTTTTTTTCCTTTTTTTTTTTTTTTTTACTTGTTTTTAATTTTCTTAATGAATTATACAAATATATTTATTATTTTTTTAAAAAAAAACCAACAGAAAACAACAAAAAAAAAAAATTTTAGTAGATGTAAAATGCATAATTTAAATTATCGAACAAGAGTGATGTGAATGTTTGTTTGCTTGAGAATATTTGTGCTTCCTATTTAAAAAAAAAAATGACTTCCATTGCTTGAAATTTTAAAAAAAGGTTATTCGATACCTCCTTTTTCTCTAAATAACCTTTTTAAAAAATTTAATAGTAAATTATTTTCTACTATCTTTCTCTCTCTCTCTCTCTCTCTCTCCTTTCTTTTTATATACTTTTTTTTTTAACGTAATATTTTAAATTAATTTAAATTTAAAAAAAAAGAAAATTTGTTACCTATTTCCTGTAGTTATAATTTATAGTAAAAATTTTTTTTTTTTTTTGTTTGTTTTATTTTTTTTATTAAAGTTTTTTTTTAAAATCGATTTAGTGAGAAATATTGATGAGTATTTTTTTTTAATGAAATGATTTATTATTATTATTATTATTATTGTGCATGAGTTTGTTTGTTTTTTTTTTTTTTTTTTTTTTAAATTAAATAATTGGAAAAAGTTTTTTTTTTTCCTTGGACAATATGTAATGTTGTACATATATATATATATATAAATAATTTGCACCGAAGAATTAATTAACCTTCGAATTTAAATAAATAAATAAAATTATCAGATAGAAAAAATTAAGTAGTAAATTAACAATTTTAAAAAATTTTTTATATATAATGTGATAATTATTTGCACGAAACAAAAAAAAAATGCACAAATGGATTTTTTGGATATTTAATTTAGGATAAAAATTTATAAACGTTGGTATTAGGTTGTGCATGAGGTAAGTTACATAAAATTTTATGGTAAATTATTTTATACTAGTAGTAGTAGTAGTAGTAGTAGTTATTTATTTATTTTATTAAAAATAATTTTTATTTAGATTAATAAATAATTTAATTATTAAATTTTTTAGATTTCCAACTCCTGCTACGTCATCATCTTCTTCATCCGCCTCATCGACGTCATCATCAGCATCCACACCATCATCAACAAGATATAATTCTAATTATATAGTTAATTTAAATAATGAAAAATCTTCGGAATTAAAATTTTCACAAGTTAATAATAATAATAGTAAGGGAAAAATAACGGAAATTCATTTTCCACCAAGAAATAAGTAAATAATAATAATAATAAATTCTTTGTGTTTTTTTTTTGCGGTCAATGTATGTTAAATGACGGCCATTTTGTTTTAGTGAAAGATCAACCGTTGCCGCCATAACACAAAAATTAGAATCTAGTCATGTATCATCAACTTCTGGTCATGTTCGTCATTGTGACATATATGAAAATAGAAGAAGATTTTTTTCTCAGGAACCTGTTGTTATTAACGGAGGTTCTGATTTACAAAAAACATGGCATCAACCTAAACCTCCAACTCATTCCCATTCTCATCACCATCACCATCATCATCATCATCATTTTCGAAGTTATCCAAATCAGGTATGATTTGTTGTTGTTATTGTTTTTTTCGGTTATACCTTTTTCATCTTAATGTTATGAATGTTATTGTAGTCATTCACAAATCATCAAGTACCTGACAATACTTTAGAACCTTGGCGTTCATATTCACCGAGCAGGGATTCAAATAATTCAAACGAATCTAGTCAGTGTTATTCTGAAACAAATAACACAGATCACAATCATCAGGTAGATGGGAAAAGTCATGAAGACACGTCGAAAAAAAGATTTTCATCTTATTTAAAATTTCATCTCGGTGGTGGTAAATTTTTAATTATTATTAATTAAATTTTGTAATTTTTTTTTTGGGGGGGGGAGGTTTTATAATTGTTTTTTTATTCAGGTGGTAAAGAAGAATCCAAGAGATATAATTGTCTTTCGTCGTCATTTAATAATAGTAAAAGTACAAGAGTACAGAGTACCTCGAATCCAAGAGTACAGAGTACCTTGCAAATTTCACAACCTAGTCAAAGTCCAGAACCTCCACCGCGTTATAATCGTTTTACGTCACAGGGTGAAGAGAGCGGGTCTCCTTTACCGATGAAAAGAGGATTTTTAGATCATTCACCGTTAAGAAAAGGTTTAGTCGAAGGTTCACCGTCGCTATCCAGAAGGTAACTTGTCAATCATAGTCATCGATATTTGTTTCCTTGTCTTTCGAATAATTTAATTTTGTACATTTTTAAGATATGTATCTCCATCACCACCGCAACCACCTCCCAGAAGACTTTCAGACTGCAATTCAGTTCCTGGTTCACCACAACATAGACAAGTCGAACATTACAGAGCAAGATTTCATTACACCCCCGAACCTCAAAGAAGATTATTTAGGACTGAATTTTGATATTAGTGCAATATAGAATTTTATTTCTTTTCTTTTTCTTCTTTAATGAAATTTTACTTTTAAACGAAATTAATCATATTGTAGAGACTTGTAAATATTGCTTATTGAATTATGTAATTTTCTTTTTTTTTTTTTTTTTTATTAAATAAATAATTCCCTTAAAAGGAAACATTTAAATTGATTAATATGTTTTATTTTTATTTAATACAAAATTGTGCCCATTAATAATAAATTAATTAATTAATTTAATTGATTAATTGATGAGTGCGGGCCATAACACCCACACACTAAACAAAAAAAATAATAATGATTTTTGAAATTATTGGGGAGGGGGGGGGAATGATTTACGTTTAAAGTAGTAAAGCAGCAGGTAAATTCTTATTTACAAAAAAAAAAATAATTAAATAAATATTATAAAAACATATTTATAAAATTTTTTTCATTATAACTAATTTGCCTAAGGCACGAAAATAAATAAAAATAATTTTACATTTAAAAAAAAAAAAAGGTATTAACATATTTATGTATGTTATATTCGAATATAATTGTATAATAATAAGGCTGTGATTAATATTTGCTACATAGTTTAGTAATTGTCTAACATCATCATCACAATTCTAATTATTAATCTCAATTTTTTTTTTTTTTTTACTGAAAAATTCACATTTATTTATCGGTTTCATTTAATTTAATATCGATTTTATAACAAAACAATTATTTATATTAACTAACAGGTAATTTTTATAAATAATACAATTCATCGATAATATATATATTGATAAATAATATTTTGGAAAATAATTATTTTTAAATAAATTTTACTGATTTTAAATTACCACTCACCCATTTTAAATTGTATTATAAATAAATAAGTAATTTAAATTAAATAATTTTTCCATTATTAAAAGCATTTATAAAATTATTTTTGTAGTTGTCTTTTTTTTTTTTTTAATTACAATAAAAAAAATATTGAAGATCTTTTTTTTCTTTTCTTTTTTTGAGGGGGGGGGGGGGAGGTTCATAATATCCAAAAGTACATGATAAAAACGAATAAAACGGCTCCGATTGCAGCACCTTTTACCATCATTGACTTACTATTAAGAATTGAAGCATCTTTTTTATACTGCTGTGACAACATAGACAAGTTTTGGGCTTTTGTATCCAATTCTGAAAGCACTGCACCTCTTTGCAAAACATCATCAATATTTTGAACCATTATTCTCTGTACATCTTGTAATTCTGTATTTAAATTATTTAAATTTCTTCTCGTTCTCGAATCCATATATGATTTTTTCGCTTTTCTAATGTAAATATCTTTAAAAAAAAAAAAAAAATCAAATTGTTAGATTGTCTTATATAAATGATAGTTTTAATAATAATAACTTTAATAAATTTTTATGAGATTTTTAAAAATTACAATTAAACATACCAAATTCAATGAAGCTATAAGGCCTTGACACTGAATGAATATGCCTACCATATTGTGATCTGAACTCTTGAGCTAAATCTTCTAAATAAGAAAAAGCTAGTCTTTTAGAATAATTTTTTTCACAAAGAACTAAATAGCAGACATCATGTTCTATGAGGTAACTAAAAGTAAAAATTAAAATTCAATTCTTTTTAAGTAATTTTAAAGAAAAAAATTCAAATAATATTTTCTTACTGAAATAAGTAAGGTCCAGTTTGAATTGTACATCTAGTAGGACTTGCAGGTGTGAGTTTTCTAAATAACATTTTAGCTTGATTTTGATATTCTAAAACGGTTCTACCACTCTGGAAAAAAAATTTTTAAATATAATTGTGTGAATGGGCGTTTAAGTGAATGTAAACTTTTACCAAATGAATTGACATTTTTTACTCTTCATGTTTTTTTGTAACAGGAATAAATTTTAACGTTTCCAAACATTAATACTATTTATATTTAAAAATAAATAATATTTAATTTGTATACTTCGTAACCGGTAAATAGGCTATTTAAAATGTTTTCAATTCATAAATATAATTACAATTACAAACTGTGTTGTAATTAATAATAATAATAATACTACAATAACTCACTTCTTCATCTTCTTGTATGGAAGCAGTCAATGGGAGGCCATCGGCCACCCGAGCAATCATTGTCATAATAACCATTTTTTATAAATTATATATAACTTCGTACTGACATTTAATTAAGTAAATGTAATAGATAAGGTAAGTGAATTCTTTAATAATACGTCAATTGAAACACGTCAACCATCACTGATTAGCTTCGGATTACCAACTTAACAGGTTTTTTTAAAAAAAAACTCGATTTACCGGATATCGATGTCTGTTTCACAAACTGGAAATTTTCAAAAATTTTTTTGGTGTAAAAAAAAAAAGAAAAAAAACTAATAGAATTTTTACTAAATTATTCATTGGTTATCACATATTTACACGCAAGTATGTATATTTAAGTAAATGCATGTGAAAATTTGTTTCCAACGGTTTTTGTGCAACAAATTAATAACTAAAAACTATGAAAATTTGAGCTTTAGGAAATGTAAGTAATTTTAACTTTCTTTTTTTTTTCATGCACTAAAAATTATAGGAAATGTGGACTTTTTTTTATATTTACAATGAAATTCATTGAAATGTAAGATTTTATTTAATATTTATTCACATTTTAACTTTTTTACACAAGATAGATATTCTTGCCTGATAATATAAGGCTATTTGATTATGTTAACTCCATTATGATTTCAAACATTTAAAAATTCTAAGATTTCTTGATACTTTACATATATTTCCAAGTATTAATTCAATATCAGGATCCTTAAAAATTCAAATATCATTATTTTAATTTTTTTGCCTTTAAAAAGAAAAAAAAAAATTAAAATGGTATGATATAATTTAATTAGAATTACTCACAATTTTTATGGGTTTCTCAAAAATCATTCAAGTTTATTTAACAAAACTATTTTAAAGATTCAGAATCTTGTAACACTTCCACTAACATTTGTGGTGTGATTTTAGCATCAATTAATTGAATTCTATCAGGAGTTTTCATTTCTTCTTCCAATATTATATCCAAATCAGAACTGAAAATGTTGAGATGAAATCATAATTATTAATGGCCAGTTAGGCCATCTTTCTAAACATTATTGCACTTACTCGCTTTCGCTAAAAGATAAATTTCCATTTAAGTTTTGAGGACTTGAAACTAAACCTATTTTCTTTCTTTTTCTAAAACATCTATAACTTGGTTTCTTTCTATCTTTTTCTTTTGGTTTTTTTTTTATTTTGCTAACTTTTCCTATATCAACCGGCCAACAAGATCTTGTTAGTTTTCTGTCAAATGGTGTATGTAACTTTTGTGACAGGGATTTTTCTTTTAATTTTTTTTTCTCAAACAGACGAGATAAGTAATCTCGACTTCGTGGTTCGTTTGTTGTAATTTCTTCTTGAGATTTTAATACAACCGCTTGAGACAAACTCTCTGATTCCGAAGAGAGCGTACTATTGCTAGATTTATAAAACTGAACATGTTTGCATATTTTGCAGTTGCTTTGTGGCATAATTATATTATAGCATTCTATATTACAAATTTGTGGCACCTAAAAAATTATTGTTTGCCCTATAATTGTGTAGTCATTTATATGATAATTTTTCTAACCTTGAAAGTTAACTAACTTTTCAAACCATTCCTTTTCAAGCTTTATCTTATTTTAAATTGTTTTTTGGGGATTTAAAAAAAAAAATGAAATAAATTTTACTTTACTATTTTGACAATATATTCCGAAACACAAACAGTAATAATAAATTGGTATCTTTTGTTTACAAAACAAATCATGGAGTATTTAATATTAAAAAAAAATGAAGGAATGAATATATATATTTTTAATTTAATTTATTTTTATGTAATTTTCTTTATTATAAATTAATTTAATTTTAAGTTTTTAACTCTATATCGAAATTTAAAAAATTTCGACTTAAAAAAGAAAATTAACTTTACAAGATACGAAAATTTTTAATTTCTAATGACACGTTTATATAAATGTAATAATTTTTGTTATGTATAAAATTTTTATTAATTTATCAAAGCAATCGAATTGTATAATGAAAAGAAACAAATATGTCTAATTAAATTAATTTAAATTTAAACATTACAAGAATAAAAATAATTAAAAGAAATACTTTAATTTAGGTTAATTAATAAAAAGTTTATTCGGTACTTAACCCGCCATATTTCATTATTTTGACAAACAAACTACAAAAATATTATCTAATTTCGTCTTTTAATTTATAACTACTCAAGCATTTCTCAATAATCATATAAATAATTTAAAATCGAATAATTTGAGTTTTATTTTTGATAAAAAAAATTTTTGGCGCCATAACAAATATCTCGTGGCATTAATCACGTTTGAAGAATATTAAAAATGGCGATTAAATTAAGTTCCAAATTGGCTTTTACAAATTTGCTTAAAAATGAATATCAAGCCAAGTTTATTTCGCCGATTAAGGTTGGTAAAAATTTAGCATAAAGATTTTAATAACGTCATTCATCATTATTATTAACAATAAGTATTAACTTTCATTATTTGAACTTTCAGTGTTTTTGTAGTCATACAGATTCAAGATTCAGTTCAGCCGTTAAAAATTATATGAAAGCCGTTGAAGAAAATGGTAAGGTTTGAACTTGGAGATATGAAAACCTTAAACACGCTTATTTTATAATTTTCATATCAAATATTGTTTGATTAGGTATAAGTTCTGTGTGTAAATTATATTCATTTGTTAAAATAATTTAATTAAAATTTATAGAAAAATTTATGCAAGAACAGAGAGAAGAGTTTGAGTTGGGAAAAAAGCATTTAGCAAACATGATGGGACGTGATGTTGAAAGTATGGATGAAAGAGAAATTAATGTAAATATTTTAGATTTATCATTGTAAAATATGTTTGTGTGAGTTAAATAATTTTAACCTAATGCTTTCGTCTTCAGAGGTCTATTAAATATCTGTTTCCTAGCGGTTTATTTCATCGACTAGCGAGACCTTTAATGAAACCCCCAGAAAAAGTTTTCAAACAAGATATTCAAAATGCAGGACTTAAAGTTGATGAATATGGTAGGCCTAAAAACTTTTTAATATACACGACTAAACCAAATTTTTCTACAGCATTGCATGTAAGTAATTTTAAAATATTAAATTGTTTTAAAAAAAAAAAAAAAAATATAAAATAAGAATGTTAATTATTATGTCGATTGCAGAAAGCTGCATTAATGGTTGAAAAAATAAATAAAATTCAGCGACAAAGTTTTAAATTGGGTCTAGAAAATACTCCGAAGGCAATGTAAGTAAATTTTTGTCAGTTCGATATATTAATCTTTGAAAATTCTTTTATTAATTTATGTTCCTCATAAGGTCTTTTATAGAATCTGAATGGATGACAAAAAAAGATTTAGAAGCTAAATTTGCTGAAAAATTATACGATGTAGAATATGAAAAGTTTTTAGAAGTTTATAATTTTTTGTTAAATCATCCTTACAATGAAACAGCTGCAGAATTAATAAGAGAATACAGAAATCCGATTAGAGCATTTAATTTTGAAAAGAAAAACATTAACATCGTTGAAAAAGATGGAGTGAAAATTGTCGATTCAAACTTGTAAGCCTTTTTTTATTTATTCCCTTTTTTTTTTTGAAAATTGTATATAAACCTAAAAAATTTTTGTAATATTTTTTACATTTATATATAGATGTAAAAGAGATACATCAATAGGAAGAGCTGTGCTCACATATCCTGGTACAGGAAAACTTTCAATAAATGGAGAAGGAATTGATTATTTCGGTCATTCGGATATGTTATGTAGAGAACAGGTATTGTAATAATTTAATAAGTTTTTATTAACTTTTAAGCCCAATAGTTCTCATTTTTTTCGACTAATTAAATTTATTGTATTTATTGCAAAAGATTTTTTTATTAATGCCCCAATTTAATAACTTATTAAACATTTTTTCTGTAACTTACGATTAATATTCAACAACAGAAGTTTTAGATTAGTAATTTTTTACAACAGAGTCCCAAGGTACATCCAGCCATGATTAATAATGATAAAAGTATTATAACGAATACGTTTTATTTAAAAGTGTAGTGATAACTTAAAAATAATTTTCCTCATTGGTGAATTCATTGACTTTTACCATTCACAGGTTGTATCTTGTTTATTTAAAAAAAAAATTTATAAAGTTGTTAATAGTAGTTATGTAAATTTAAGTTATAAATGTGAGTCAGTGCTAAATAAAGTAAGTTTTGTGAAACTATTCGTAGTGGTTTGGCCGCCCTCGAACCGGCCACAACTCGGTGTGTGTGTATATACTCGGAATGTTTTGCGCCATCTTGCACAAATAATTAAATACAATTTTCATCGAGGTTTTTTTTTTTTTTTTTTTTTAAACATATTTTATTTGTTTGTTTATTAATAATAATATAAAGAGAGACAATTTAAAAAAAAAAAAAAAAAGTGCGGAGTTTTTCCTGTTTGTATATTTATCACAATTATGAAGATTTAAAAAAAATGGTAAGTCCCTTTAGAATTTTTTTTCTTTATTATTATTATTATTATTATTTTTTTTTTTAATAAATATCACAGTCTTGATACTTTTAATTAATTTTTAAAGTATGTTACTTGTGTACGTGTTTTTTGTTTTTATCGGACTGTAACGCACCGTAGATTTGATATTACAAATAAATGAAAAAGTTTCTATAAAAATATTTAATTAAAAAATAATAATAATAATAATAAGTAATAATTTAAATCAAATTTTATTTATTTATATTAAAAATTATTGTATTTATTATTTACTAACGTCTCTGATAAATCATGGGTTTCTTTTATTTTTTTTATTTTTTTCATAACTAACAATTGGATTTCTTTTTTGTTGAAAGTTTTAATGAGTGACCTATCGTACGTAGAATATCATTATTATTATTATTTGTTTTTTCGCAAGAAAAATTTAATAAAACCATTTGCAAATTTTTGTTTTTTTCGCGTAAAAATTCTGACGGGTCATTGACTGTTTCCATTCATAGACGATGATAAAAAAAATATATATATGTGTAAAATTTTAATAATTTGTTGTGTAATTGAAAGCCTATAAGTTGTTAACAGTTATGATAGTAATGGATGTCAAATTATTAAGAATTCACTTGTCGGTTTTAATGTTTTAATTTTAAGCGTGAATCATATCGTAAAAGTAAAAAAACCAAAAAATATTTTTATTTAATTTTTTCGATCTAGTATGAAATGACTTTAGATAGACAACAACAACAACAACAAAATAAAAAGTTTGCATTCGAATGTATTATGTTAGTTAGTTGTTTGTTAGTTGTTTGTTGTACGCAATGCAAGAGTCAAATTCATCGAAACGGTATGCGAGAAATAATTTTTTGTCGGTTTTTTTCCCTTTTTTCGAGGTCAAGGTTGAAACGGCGAAACGTTTTTTTGGTATTGAAAAAAAAAAAAGGGGGGGGGGAAAAAAGAACCGTGAATGAACGTGAACACGAGAAACGCGGCAATGTAATAATAATAATAGTAATAATAATCGAGCCGGAAAAACTTGCCATTAATAAAATAATATCCGTGAAAATTTAAATTGATGAAAAAACAAAAGAAAATTTATCTTTTGATTATCGAAAATTGGGGGGGGGGAAAAGAAAAGTAAATTTCTAATTTCGTTTTTTTGTTGTTTCGATGACGAGAACAAAAGAAAATAATTATGACGATGACGATGTTTCATTATTTTTATTATTATTATTATTATTATTTTTTTTTTTGTAAATGAATCGCTGAAGAAATTTGAATGACAATGTCACTTCCGCTATTCGTCCTATTTAATTTCGAAAAAAAAAAAAAAAAAAGAATTCTCAAGAAGTATGATGGTGTTGTAGTTGTAATAAAGAAATTGAAAAATTCTCAATCGTGATAGAGAAATGGGGGGGGGGCGGGAGGAAAGATACGGTCGGTCTTATTTCGGAAGAAGTAGTCCAAAGTCATCATCACACGTCGCAGATGATGATGATGATGATGATGCAAAACTAATAATATTAGTATTATCGTTTTGTTTTTATTTGCAACACGTATTCGAAACGTGGCGGAAACACGTGTAAAAAAAAATTAACAAATAGTTAATTGTAATTCAATATTCGAATGAAAATTTTTTTCCGAAGGGATCATCATCAAATGACTTAAATTCTATTTATATAAAATTTATAAATAAAAAACGAAATGGAATAATGTACGTAAACAACTTTGGAAAAATGTTCCCCCTTTAGGCTGAATGATAATAATAATGATAAAGAACTTTCGAGAAACGAAAGGTTCGTAGAAAAACAATCGTCCTTTTTTAAACGAAACCGAATACCTAACTGGTACCCGTTGGAATTTAAAATCTCGTTTTGTTTCGATTGTGATAGAAATCAGATTCGAATGATAATTTTTTTGTTGTTTTGTTTTCTTAATATCTTCAAGGGAAATCGATCGTCGTTGCAAAATTCGTTAAGAAAAATAATAATAATAATAATAATAATAATAATAATAACGATAATAATGATAAATTTTTTCGAAAGGAAAGCAAAAAAAAAAAAAAAATTGTTTCACACACTTTTGCACCGTGATTTTCAATCAAGGATTTTTTTTTTTTTTTTTTACGAAGTTTACCAAAGCTTGAAAATTCATTATTATCATTATTATTATTATTTTTTTTTTAATTAGAAATAATTTATCGCGGAACCTTTTGGAAGGAAAAGAAAATGTGAGGGAGAGAGAGAGAGAGAGAATTCGATCGATTGTATCGTAGAATATGTTAAAATTGTACAGGTTTTGTCGTATGAATTAATTAACACGTAAAACCGGTATTTAAAAAAAAAAAAAAAAAACAAATATTACAACACGGTCGATCGATCGATCGATGTATCGATGAGTTCGATTTGTTGGCATTTGAATATTGTTAAGTAATTATCGTTAAAATTCAACACATCCGGAATGTTTACATTCGCACTCGTGAGACTTCTCGAAAAACGTAGAACAAAGCTTCTTGATTCGGTATACAATATCATTTCAATTAGCACCATCATCATCATCATCACCACTACCACCACCACCACCATTTAAAATCGTGAAAACATTTTTAAAGACAACAAAGACTTGTGTGTGAGAACGACAATGTTGTTTTGTTCACGACGACGACGACGACGACTTTGCGTGACATTTTTTTTTTTTTTTTTCGAACGTATTTGCAAATTTCCCAAAAAAAACCAAAAAATAAACAAAAACGTCTTCCATTTAAATTAATAATAATAATTAGGACAATGATTTTTTTAATTTTTGGAAATCGTACGAACAAGTAAAAAAAAAAAAAAAATGGACGAGGTCGTTAACATGAAAAAACATTTTTTTTTTTTTTTTTTTTAATTGTTTTACTTTTTCGGATTTTTTTTTTTTTAAAAAATTTTTAAATTCCCGTATGAAAAAAATTCAAATCCCTTTGTTTTTCCGTAATAATAATAATAATAATAATAATACTGTACGGTGATTTGAAAAAAAAAAAAAAAAAATTAATATTTTGCGGTTTATTTGAATTACTTATTACACATACAAATGTTGTCGTCGTCGTCGTTTGCGGTGAAAAAAAAAAATTTATTTAATCGTAATTAGTTGGTGCAATTACAAGCCGCGAATTTGCATTTAAAACGTTTTTCTCTCTCTTTCTCTCTCTCTCTCTATATTGTGCGTTTTGATTTGAAAAATATTGGTCTTGAAAAAATGGAGGACGTGGTGGAGTGTGTGCCTCGATGAGTTTGAAGAATTTTTTTTTTTTTTTTTAAATAAATAAATAAATAAAATAAAAGGAAAAACAACTTTTAAAACTTGGGGAAAAAAGTTGTTTTTTTATTTTTTGCGAAGATTTCATTAATTGAAAATGGAGAGAGAGAGAGAGAAATTTCTTTGTTATGATTCATTTCTAAGAAATCGTTTTTTTTTTTTTATCGCCATCTTTTTTTTAGTTAAATACCTGGATTCGAGTGAAATTTTGTCGTTTGAGGGGCCGTTGCTTTCCGTTAAAAGAAAGAAAAGTTTTCTGTAATGGCTGCAAGAAATGAGTCTGACATTTTTTTTGTTAAATTTATTTTTAAAATTAATATTGTTTACGTAAACGTTTTAAAAAGAATTTTTTTTTAAAATTTAATAACATCAAGTCAGGTTTTTGTTTTGCGGTCGTTAATTTTTTTTTCATTTTTTTCCCTCATCGTTCGAGGCGTCGTTTTTTTCATTGGAAAGTTGAAAAAACTGGTTTCGTACAGAATGAGAGAAGGTCAAGTTTTTGTTTTGCGAAGATAAAAAAAACATTATTATTAATAATATCTATTATTAGAGCTTTTTTATTTTAATTATTATTATTATTATCGACATCATCTCGATGTCGATCGAATGACCATTTTTATCAGAGAAAAAAAGGAAAAACTGGTGATGGTTATACTGATTCATATTTTTTTTTTTTTTTAGATATGATCTCGATATAAAATGGAATTGAACTTCACTAAAGACTACGATCAGAAGCAACCCTTCGATCGAAGCATAAGCTTCGGTAGGGAATTGTCAGTCATCGACACAAGTCAAAAATGTCGGACTCCGTCATTTTTGGAAAGGTTGAAAAGTTTCGGAGAAGATAGAGCCTCCATGTTGCAACGGTCGAAACACATTGATTTGGAGGATTCGTCATCGTCCGCTCTCGACGATATAATTTTTTTGGATAGCTTCGAAGAAATACACCAGAAAGGAGATGCAAACGTTCTCGTGTCGAGAGACGTCGTTCGACAAAATATATTGGATATGATGAAATCCGGATCCGGAAACGTTAAGCTGCTGACCGATATCGAAACGGGAAACACGAGTGTCAATAATATTGAAGAGCATTTTGCGAATTCTAGTCAATTTGAAAAAAATGTCGGTTTTCTTTGGTCCGTTTTTCACCGGAGAAGAGATCTCTTGGATTATTTTTTGCAATTCAACGTCGATGTTAATTTTTCCGAACCGCAATTGGGTTTCACTCCTCTTCACCTGAGCTCTTTCAGCGGGTGTAACAATTGCACCGCATTGTTGATATCGAAAGGAGCGGATGTGAACACATTGACGAACAAATACACTCCGCTTCATTGTGCAGCTTTTGGAAATGCCGCGTCAACTGCGAAACTCCTCCTCAAAGCGGGTGCCAAAATCGTATCGGAAAAAGTCTGCAACGAAACTCCGATTCACTCGGCGGTTCGATCCAAAGCCGTGGATTGCTTGCAACTTTTCATCACCGAAAATATGGATTTGAGTAACATGGGAGGATGCGGGTACAGTCCCCTTCACTTGGCCGCCGATTTGGGTCATTTGCAGTGCTTGCAAATTTTATTGAATTCGAATAAATGCGACATCAATTTACAAACGCTCGAACGAAAATGCTCAGCTCTACATTTGGCAGCCGAAAATGGTTATTACGAGTGCCTTAAAACATTGTTAGAATACGGTGCCGACTCGAATGCGGTCAATTACCGACAGCAAACTCCGCTTCACGCCGCCGCCAAAGTTTGTTCCGAATCAGTCGAATTACTTTTAAAATACGGTGCCGATCCCAACAGTCCCGACGCGGATAACAGGACTCCGATGCACGCGGCCGTGTGTAAATGCGAATCCGAACATTCGTTGGAAATATTAGATTATTTAACCATGTGGAAGGGTGACGTGAACAGACGGGACAAATACGGGTACACTCCGCTTCACATAGCAGCTCTCAACGAGTTGACCGAGTGCGTGGAATGTTTAATTCTTTCAGGTTCCGACGTGACGGCAAGGACGAGAGGGGGAACATCGGCTTTAAGTATAATTTCGCGTAAAACTCCGGCGGCACTCGGTGCCGTCAATCAAAAATTGGACGAATCCATTACAACGAACGATCCGGACGCATCCAAAGAAATCGTGTTAATGTTTAATTTCCGGTATCTTCTTAAAAATTGCAAACGCGGGGAAGTGAGTTTTCTTCAAACTCTCGTCGACGAAGGACAAAAGGAATTTTTAAGTCATCCCCTGTGCGAGGCTTTCCTCCACTTGAAGTGGCAGAAAATTAGAAAGTATTACATAACAAGACTCATTTTTTGTTTGCTCTTCGTCATTCTCCTGAGCCTGTACGTTTTGACAGCTTTAGCGTATCAATGTTACAACGACTCCGTTTCCGATGTTTTTCCAGACGTCGAAGCGAGAATTTTGATCGTCGACCCGGAACTGTGCACGAAAAAATCTTACTTTGGAGAATTGTTGAGGAGAAATCCGATAATCATGGAAATGGAATGGTTTTTTCTAGTTTTCATAACCGTTTTGGAAATATTTAGAAAAATCTACGGTTTCAGAGGATACAAATCCTTTCGGCATTACATATCGCAAAAGGGAAACATCGTGGAATGGTTTGTCGTTTTGTCCGTTTTTCTCATATCTTTCGTGTACACGGGAAGAACGTACATATGGCAAAATCACGTCGGAGCTTTGGCCGTTCTTTGCGGATGGGCGAATTTAATGATAATGATCGGGAATTTGCCGATATTCGGAAGTTACGTCGCGATGTACACGAAAGTTCAAAAAGAATTCACAAAATTGTTTTTGGCTTACATTTGCCTACTGATCGGATTCACCGTTTGTTTTTGCGTCATTTTTCCAAAAGCCAAACAATTTTCGAATCCTTTCGTCGCGGTGATAAAAATTTTGGTCATGATGACCGGGGAATTAGAATTCGACAGTTTGCTCGAGAACATAACGCAAGAAGAAAGTCATTCGGCGACGCTCTTGGAAATCAGCGCGTTGACGACGTTCGTGTTCTTCCTACTATTCGTGACGATCATCCTTATGAATTTACTCATAGGGATCGCCGTACACGACATACAGGGATTGCAAAAAACGGCGGTTTTATCAAAGCTCGTGGGTCAAACGAAATTGATCACTCACATCGAATCCGCACTTTTCAACGGGTGTTTGCCCAATTGTTTTCTCAAACTCTTGCAAATCACCGCTTTGATATCGCCCTCGTCGTACCGCGTCGTCGTCAGCGTGAAACCGTTGAATCCGAGAGAAACGAGGTTGCCGCAGGACGTCATGAGATCGGGATTGAAAGTGGCCAAACAGAAAAGAGCAAAGGGACCGACACCGTCGGCGAGAAGTTCAATGAGATATCCGACGATGAAAAAGCGGAAAACGATGATGATGATGAACGAGGAAGTCATTGCTGACATGAGAAACGCTTTGTCCAAATTGATGGACGAAGTCGGAACAATCAAACGTTTAATAATGGCGGGAGAAAGAAATGATGTGCCTTAAAAATTCAAATTGCCATTTTTTTTCTCCCACCATTTTGTTTTATTCGTTATTACCTCCTTCTTTATCACAAATTAATTGCTCAATCGAACCGAGTGAAATTTTTTTTTTTTATACGTTGTTTATAGTAATTAGTAATAATAATAATATTTTTTGTTATAAATTAAAAATTTTTTATTGTAAATTTTGAACCGTTTTAAATGTGATCTTTCCAGTTTAAATTTTTTCAGTCATTTTATTATTATTATTATTATTATTATTGTTTTTGTTATTCCACGGTGGTCTTTTTGTTTTTTCTATAAAATTTAAAATTTCCAGGTTTTTTTGAAATAGTTTAAATATTTTAAATCGATCATTTCCCAATGTAAAATAAATATTGATTTTATGATAAAATATGGCGGTGGAATTTTTCCAAAAAAAAAAAAAAAAAAAATGGTTTTCTATTGACTAATTTTCACAAAAAAATAAATAAATAAATTTACATAATTTTTGCAATTATTATTATTATTATTTTTTGATTTTATTTTGATTTTCTCCATAATTCCGACGATGATGATGATGATGATGATGAGGAGGAGGAGGAGAAAAAATATAATTTTATGCACTGTTTCGTTGAAAGAAAATTTTTTTGCTTTTCAGATTTTATTTCCGCTTTTACTGACGGACATGTTGGGAAAAGTAGACATAGAATGCACGGTAGAAAATGGCGGGCCGTCGGGTCAAGCAGGTGCTCTAAGGTATGCAATCAGTAAAACTCTTTACACGTTGGTGGATGAAAACGTTCGTGCGAAAATGATGTTGGCGGGTTTAACGCAAAGGGATATAAGGAGAAGAGAAAGGAAAAAACCTGGAAGAGATGGAGCTAGAAGAAGATATACCTGGTTGAAACGATGAAGAATTTTGTTTTTTTTTTTTTTTTCGTGGCGACCTAAAAGAATTTTATAAGGTAATGAAAAATGTTTTACGGTGCACTTTTTTTTTTTTTTTTTTTTTTTTTATACCGGAAATGTTAAATTTTATATTTTTTACAGTATGTCAAACACACACAAAGAAAAAAGAAAAATGAAATATTATAAAACTAATATCATTTAATTTATTTTAAATAAATTATTTACATTTTTCTAAGAGGTTTTAAACCTAACAATTTCATACCGTCCTCAAGAACGGATCTTGTTTTTTCAAAAAGTAAAAGTCTTTGACTTCCGGTATGATCATCAGATGATTTGACGTTTAAATTTTTCAACGCTCCGTTCGTTGCGCGGCAAAGAGCAAACAAATACGAAACCAATTCTTTAGGTTGTAACGTTTCGTTCGATTTAATCAAAATGCTTTCGTAATTTGCAATTTGTTTAATTAAATTAATGGCTTCGATTTCTTTAAGTGCTTGAGGATCGCAATAACTCGCCATTGTTTTGCCACATTCCAATGAGAGATTACACAATCTGCAGTGACAGTACTGTAGGAAAACTCCCGTGTCTGACGTCATCTGTAACATGTCTTCCCATTTTGCCGCGTAATCTTTCGTGCGACTACGTTTGAGATCGTTGATAATGACGGCGGATACTCCGAGCACATCGGCGGTTTCTCTATCGTCTGCTGATGTTTTGGTAGCTAAAAAAATTATTTTATTTATTTTTTTTTTTATTTTACTTTTGTTTTTAACGAACGAAAGGGGTGTGATTAATTTAAAAATTACTTTTTGTCGATTGTTGTTTTGCAAGTACTCTTTCGCGTGCTTCATCGATGACATCTTTTAAAAAAATAACGTTACCCTTTCTTGTTTTCATTCCGTTTATTTTACCGAATTTGATTTGCCGTAGTATTTTGTTTTTACTTATTTCCAACTTTTCGCAAAGTTTAAATAAATTTGTAAAATGTTCTGCTTGACCATTATCGACAACATAATACATCTCATCAAAATTGTGAGTTGATCTATAAAAGTACAAATTTATATCATTTTGATTTCTGTGTACATTATCAGAAAACAATGGTTTGATTATTTACATTCTATCCAAAACGGCCATTAAATCTCGACAAATGTATAATGTTGTGTTGTCGCTTTTTATCAAAGGTATGACTTTATCATCTATTACAGCTACTTTTTTTTGAAATTCATCTGTCGACAATATTCCTTTTTCTTCTAAAAGTTTTAAAACGTTGTCAGCATGGCTCCTCCTGTAGTCAGACTCCCATGAAAAACTATCAAATTCAACTCCTAATCTTTTATATGTAGCATTTAATTCTTCCAAGGTCCACATTCGATATTTATCCCACAGTTGAATTAATTTCTCATCTTGTCGCTCAAGCAAATAAAAATTTTTTTTAGCTTTTTCATAAGCATCCTGATCGAGTTTGGACAATTGATTTCCCTTAACATAAGCTTTGAACAATAGATTAATAGGATCTTTTTTAATGTCATCGATTGTATAATTTTCATGTTCTACGCCAAGTTGAATTATTCCAAATTGAGTACCTAAAATTTTGATTAATTTTTATAAAATCTTCCCACATCATTGTTCTCTCTCTCATTTTTCTTTTTTTATCATGTTTAACCTACCCCAATCTCCTAAATAATTTAATTTAAATACATTGTTTCCTAATTTTTTTTTTATATTCGCAATACTATTTCCTATAATTGTCGATCTTAAATGGCCAACGTGAAAAGGTTTAGCTATATTAGGAGAACTATATTCGACAATCACCTTTTTTCCAATAGGCTCAAAATTAAGGCTGATGGGATCCGATTCTAAAACATCTTTTACAAATTGTCGAGTATCCAATTTTATGTTAAATTTATATTCGTCTTTTCCCTCATTCACGTGTGTTTCGTCAACGCCGCCGATATTTTCAACGAGTTCTTTTTTAACATTTTTTAATAAATCCGGATGTAATTTATTTGCATCGTCGTTAGGAAGGTTAAGTACCCAATATACTCCAGCCTGTGGATCATATTCGACTTTACTGAAATATTTAAATATCGTTTCGAATGATGTATTGACCCATTGAGGACGAAACACATTAAAAACCTGTTTAAAAAAAAAAAAAAACTTGTTGTTAAAACAAATTTAGGTTAAGTTTTTTTAATTTTAATCGAATATTAAATATTTTACGGTTTTAGCTATATTCAATTTAATTTTTGATGCCATGAATTATTTTATATTAAACTTGTCATCATCATAAAGTTGTAAAAAAAAAAAAAAAAGTTTTCACTATACTTTTTTACATATAAAAAACAGTTTTTTTTTCTTTTTTGTAAATTCAAATCAAGTTGAATTATCTAATGCCACGACAGTTAGTAGTAGAAATAATTTGTAATGGTTTTTTTTGATGAATTCAATTTCATTACGATAATGAAATATAAAAAAATTAATATTTTTTATTATAATCAGTTAAAATGTTTTTAATATTTTTTTAATTTATTAGTTCTATAAATAATAATAATAATAAGACTTTTACAGTAAGTTGAGCTTACGTTTCCAAAAATTTTATATCAATTGTGAAGACATGACATGAAATACTGGTTCATTTATATAATCAAATTATAATTATTAAATTATTATTATTATTATTATAAGTCAGTGTATGGGATAACTGTATGAATAAATTTGCCAATTTTATTCCGAATGAATTTAATTTTTATTTTATAGTAAATTATTTTTTCATTTATGATTTTTTTATAGGTAGTTTAAATTTTTCAATCATGGAAATTGACGTTCCTTTTTTTTTGGAAATAGCCAATTGTCGTCGTTTTACAGAATATTTAAGAAAACATTCTAAAATAGAAAGTTCTGTAAAATGTATGAACGAAACAGAACTTACTAAATTAGATTATGAAAAAATACTCACGAGAGCAAAATGTGAATCGACACAAAACAGTTTTAATGAGTATGATGTCAAATCATTTATTTTTTTATTTTTTTATTTTTTTAAATTTATTTTAATTGATTGCACAATATCGACTATTATTTATATATATAAAAAAATTTTTATTTTAGCGATATTTCTTGGGATTACATTACACAAAAACTTCCAAATGATCCCATAATAAAAAAAAATCTACAAATCATTTATCAATATGCTAGAAAATTTTGTTCTAACGAATCAAAAGAATTAATACATTCATCTGCATCGTACATTTTTCAATTGCTTTTAAATGAAAAAATGGTTTTGCAAAAACACATAGAATCTTTGAAGCAGCTATTCGGTGTAGTATCTCCTAGTGATGTTAAATATTTATTTGAGGTAATAAAATTTTTTTGTAGGTATTAAATAAATATTAATTAATAGTTTTCTTAGTGAAATGCACTTATTTTAGGCCATTAAAGAAATTTCATTTAATCTCGATGAGGATGTCCTACAGCTGTTTAATAATAATTCCAATGAGAAAAATTATCGTTTTCTCGAAAACAACACACCATATGTGCCTTTGAATTCGATTGAATGGGATGCAAGGTACAAAGATAAACACAAATTAACATCTTTTAGTCAGGCTGTTAAAAATTTTGATAATGATAATAAAATTGTTAATGAAATATCTAACTACTTATCTCAAACTAAAAGTATAACAAAAGGTTCCAAGGTAAATCGTTGTCGATTTGTTTTTAAAACAAATTATACCATATTTTTTGTCTATTAAATTTTAAGAGTTTTTTTTTTTTTTTTTTTAAGTATAATAAGAATTGGTTGATCTCTGAATTGAATTTATTCGAAACTGGTGGAGATGTCATGAATACTGAAGATTTTGCCCAAATTATAATAAATCTTTTAAAAACGAGTAAATCAAATGAAGAACTTCAAAATGAATTATTCGATATTTTGGGTTTCGATCATTTTGAACTTATTCAATCTTTGCTTGATCACAGAAAAGAGATTATTCAAAATAATTCTGAATCACCCACAGCCTCATCATCTCAAACAAAAGGTATGGGAAAAAGAATGTTACATTTTATTATTATTATTATAACTCTTTTTAATACTTTTACTATTGTATTTTTAGTGCCAACATCTAAAAGTGTAGCGTTTACTAATGAAAGAGAAAATCATTCACAGACGCAGTTTGAAACGGAAGCAAGAAAAATCTCGGAAAGATTAGAATTAGGTGTAGTGGAAAGAAATTTAAATGATATATTTTTTCGTCCTGATCCGTCTAAAAGTATTTATTCAAATTATGAAAATAATAAAACATCAGAGAAAGTGAGTTAAAAACCTTTTTTTTTTTTTTTTTTTTTTTTTTTTTTTTTTTTTTAAATAAAAACCAATTGAAATTTTTAACGTTATTAATTTATAAATTATTGTTACAGTCGAGTTTATTCAAAAAAAAAGTTCCGACAACGGTAAAATATCCGAACGTGTATGATTTAAAAGAAAGCATGAAAACAACTCCAGGTTACGTCGCCGGCACAAAAATCCTTCTTCCCGAAGGAGTCGAAAGACAATTTAAACCTTCTTACGAAGAGATTTCCATTCCATTATCTGAAAAACCTCCCGCCGACGTTGGTCAAAAAATAATAGGCGTAAATGCTTTAAATAAAATAGGACAATTAGCTTTCGAAGGAATTAAAAGTTTGAACAAAATACAGTCGGTGGTTTTCGATGCGGCGTATCATTCTAATGAAAATCTTTTAATATGCGCTCCTACGGGAGCGGGTAAGACAAATATAGCAATGTTGACAACCGCTCATCAAATTGAACAGCACGTTGAAAATGGAGTAATCAAAAAAGACTCTTTTAAAATCGTTTACATAGCCCCGATGAAAGCTTTGGCAGCTGAAATAACGAAAAATTTCAATAAGCGTTTAAATCCGTTGGGATTGTTAGTTAAAGAATTAACCGGTGACATGCAATTGACTAAATCTGAAATATTAGAAACTCAAATGTTGGTAACCACGCCGGAAAAATGGGACGTTGTCACTCGGAAAGGAACAGGTGATATAGCGTTAACGAAATTAGTAAAACTTTTAATTTTTGATGAAGTTCATCTTTTGCATGGGGATAGAGGTCCCGTCGTGGAAGCACTCGTTGCGAGAACTCTTAGACAAGTTGAATCATCTCAAAGCATGATAAGAATCGTGGGATTATCAGCGACATTACCCAATTATCTGGACGTCGCTAAATTTCTCAGAGTTAATCCTCACGTCGGACTTTTTTTTTTCGATTCGAGATTTCGACCCGTACCTTTGAAGCAAACTTTTATCGGTGTTAAAGCGACGAAGCCCTTACAGCAAATGAATGATATGGACAATGTTTGCTATGAAAAAGTTTTAGAGCAAGTTCAAAAAGGACATCAGGTAAATGATATATATATATTTTAAATCAATGATAAATTTTTAAAAAAAAAAAAAAAAATTAATATAAATTTTCGTCAAATCTTTTCTCAGGTTATGGTATTTGTTCACACTCGTAATGGAACCATTCGTACGGCAAATGTTCTCAAAGAACTTGCCATGAAAGACAATCAATTGGACGCTTTTCAACCTGATGAATCTCCTAAATTTACATTGGCAAAAAAATCAATTAGTCGATTGAAAAATAAACAAGTCGCGGAATTATTTCCTTTGGGATTTGCTTGTCATCATGCAGGAATGTTGAGGGCCGACAGAACAATCATCGAGAATTATTTCGGAGATGGTTTGATAAAAGTTTTAGTTTGCACTTCTACTTTGGCCTGGGGTGTTAATCTACCCGCTCACGCTGTTATAATCCGGGTAAAAGTTTTATTTATTTTTTGTAACATTCGAATTCAAATATCTACAAATCGCAAAAAATTTTACGTTTTGATGAAATTAAACTTTTAATAGGGAACTGAGATTTACGATGCCAAACACGGTTCATTCGTGGATTTGGGAATACTGGATGTTTTACAAATATTCGGACGTGCTGGTCGGCCGCAATTCGATACTTCTGGACACGGGATAATAATAACGAGTCACGATAAACTAAGTCATTATTTATCCCTTCTCACCGATCAGTTTCCCATAGAAAGTAATTTTATCAATTTCCTCGCCGATAACTTAAATGCCGAGGTAACGGGCAAAGTAACACTTTTGTGACGTTTTCAGTACGGAATTAATTCACAAGAAAACTATTAAATAAATAAAAATTTTTTTTAGATTGCTTTGGGAACCATTTCAAACGTCGAAGAAGCAGTTGAATGGTTGAGTTATACATTTTTGTTCGTCAGAATGAAAGTGAATCCGTTAGTTTACGGAATAACTTACAACGACGTTCAAAATGATCCCTTGTTGATAACCAAGCGACAAGAATGGATTCATGCAGTCGCAAAAGCATTGGACAAAGCCAGAATGATCAGGTACAACGAAAGAACGGAAGACTTGAATATAACGGGTAACAAAAATTTAAATTAAAATTTTTTTTCGAACGAAAAGTTTAAATTTAAGGTAATGAATTGAAATTTATTTTTAGATCTCGGTAGAACGGCTAGTCATTTTTACATAAAATACGATACGGTTGAAATTTTTAACGAAATGATGAAAACAATAATGACGGATTCGGAAGTGCTTAATTTGATTGCTCACGCTCACGAATTTCAACAGCTTAAAGTTCGTGACGACGAAATGGACGAATTGGATCAGCTGACCCGCGATTATTGTCCTCTGGAAGTCATGGGAGGAAGTGAAAATTTACACGGGAAAATAAATATCCTTTTGCAAACTTACTTGTCCTGCGGTCGAATCGATTCGTTTTCCCTAATATCCGATCAAGCTTACATTATTCAGGTAATGCTACTCGTAGTGGCGACTTTCCTTCTTTTTTTTTTTTTTTTAAAATAATTTTAATTAATTTTTTGTTTTTCGTTCGATAGAACGCCATAAGGATCATTCGAGCTCTTTTTGATATTGCATTGAGAAAAAAGCAAGCCATCATGACGTCGAGATTTTTACTAATGTCGAAATTGTTGGAGCTTCAAATGTGGGAAACGGATTCTCCGCTCAAGCAATTCGGTTTTTTCGGTAACGACATTCTGGGAAAGTTGGAAGCGAAAAATTTGAGCGTTGAAAAGCTCAGAGAAATGGATCATCGTGAAATCGGCGCCATGATTCGAAATCCCAAATATGGGAAAATCGTACAAAACAAAGCGTTCGAAATACCCTTGCTCAAACTCGAATCGGTTCTTCAGCCCATCACTCGTACGGTTTTAAGAATACGATTGAAAATCAGCGCGGATTTCAAATGGAACGATAAAGTTCACGGGAAAACAACGGAACCGTTTTGGATTTGGATAGAAGATCCCAATTCGAATTTCATATATCATTCCGAATATTTTCTCATAACTAAAAAACAGGTAATACTCGTGTAAAAAGAATAGGAGAAGAAGAAGAAGGAGGAGAAAAAACAAAAAAAAATTTTTTTTTTTTTTTTTTCGCTTTAAAAATTACTTATTTTAATTTAGTTTAAAAATAGGTAATCAAAAACGAAGAGCAAGAATTGATTATGACCATACCTATATCCGAACCCCTGCCGTCTCAATACTACGTCAAAGTCGTCAGCGATAGATGGTTGGGATCCGACATGACGGAGGCATTGTCATTTTTAAATTTAATATTACCCGAAACTCATCCTCCTCACACGGGTTGGTAGCAAACTTTAATCTTCGTCGAAGATGAAGAGTTTGTAATAATTAACGGAAATTTATCATCTCTCTTTTTTTTTTTTTAGATTTGCTTCCTCTTCAACCGCTTCCGGTGTCCGTGCTCGATGATCCCGCTCTGGAAAAATTGTACAAATTTTCTCATTTCAATTCGATTCAAACACAAATTTTTCATTGTTTATATCACACGGATAAAAATGTTTTACTGGGAGCTCCGACGGGATCCGGAAAAACAGTCGTGGCGGAAATTGCCATGTTTAGAGTTTTTAGAGTGTATCCGGGTGCGAAGGTAATGAAAATAAATTTTAGTTTTTTTTTACTTTTTTTGGGAAAAGTTACAAAATTTTAAAATTTTTAGGTTGTGTACATAGCTCCGTTGAAAGCTCTTGTTCGGGAGCGAATGGAGGACTGGAAAATAAGACTCGAGAAAAATCTCAAACGTAAAGTGGTCGAATTAACCGGAGATGTTTCGCCCGACGTGAAAGCAATAAATGCAGCCGACGTCATCGTCACGACTCCCGAAAAATGGGACGGAATCAGTAGGAGTTGGCAAACTCGAAACTACGTTCGTAAAGTGGCATTGATAATAATCGACGAAATTCATCTTTTGGGAGAGGATCGGGGACCCGTTTTGGAAGTCATCGTTTCCCGTACTAATTTTATTTCTTCCTACACCACGAATCGCTTTAGAGTCGTTGGACTTTCGACTGCTTTGGCAAATGCAAAAGATTTGGCCGATTGGTTAGGTATAGGACAGGTGAGAGATTTCTCTTTTACTTTTAAAAGATAATTAAATCAGTTTTACGTAGAATAATTTTTTTTTTTTGAAATGATTTTCAGATGGGATTATACAATTTTCGTCCTTCCGTACGTCCCGTACCGTTAGAAGTTCACATATCCGGTTTTCCCGGCAAGCATTACTGTCCGAGAATGGCGACAATGAACCGTCCAACATTTCAAGCCATCCGTCAACATTCTCCCGTTCAACCTGCTCTCGTGTTCGTTTCTTCGCGGCGTCAAACCCGATTGACAGCTCTCGATCTGATTGCGTACCTTGCGGGAGAAGACAATCCTAAACAGTGGCTTCACATGAAAGAGGAAGAAATGGATCAAATTATTTTAAACACGAAAGATTCCAATTTAAAATTGACGCTGGCTTTCGGTATAGGTATGCACCACGCGGGTCTCGTGGAACGGGATAGAAAAACCGTCGAAGAATTGTTTCTCAATCAAAAAATCCAGGTTGGAAAATTTCGATCGTCGTTCGTATGAAAATTTTTATCGAGTTTGATATTTTGAATTTAAATTAATTTTTTTTTTTTCCAGGTTTTGATTGCGACTGCGACGCTAGCTTGGGGAGTTAATTTTCCAGCTCACTTGGTCGTCATCAAAGGAACGGAGTATTACGATGGCAAGTTGAAAAGATATGTCGACATGCCGATAACGGATGTTTTGCAAATGATGGGAAGAGCGGGTAGGCCGCAATTCGACGAACAAGGAGTTGCCGTCGTTTTGGTAATGAAAAACCCCCCACCCCCTTCCCGTTTTAAAATTTAGAAAACGCCAATTCAATGTGAATTTCATTCGATCGAAAATGACTTTGCAGGTACACGACGTGAAGAAAAATTTTTACAAAAAATTCCTCTACGAACCTTTTCCAGTTGAATCTTCTCTCCTGGAAGTTTTACCGGATCACTTGAATGCAGAAATCGTTGCGGGATCCATTCAAACGAAACAAGAAGCTTTGGATTATTTAACTTGGACTTATTTCTTTAGGAGATTGTTGAAAAATCCCGCGTATTATCAATTGGAAGGTTCCGTCGAAGAATGCATCAATGAATATTTATCAAAGCTCGTGGAAAAGGCGATATCCGCTTTGGAGGATGCTTTTTGCGTCGAAGTTCAAATGGTAAACATCGAAGAACGACGGGGGAGGGCGGGAAATTCGATGAATTTTGATTCCTTTTTTTTTTTTTAGGATGAGCGAACCGTTGAGTGTACTTCGATGGGACGAATCGCATCGTTTTACTATTTGAGTCATCAATCCATGAAACATTTCAGAGACACGTTGAAAAGGGATTTAAATTACGAAGAATTACTTCAAGCTCTGTGTAACGCACACGAATACAGTCAGTTGCCGGTTCGTCACAACGAAGACAATTTGAATGGGTGAGCAATGGATGATTTCCAATCGAAATAAGTTTTAACTTAAAATGATAATGATGATAACGATGTTACTCCATTTTCAGAGAGCTTTCTAAAAAATGTCCGCTTCCGGTCAATCAATACACTCTGGATTCTCCATTTACCAAAGCCGAACTTCTTTTTCAAGCTCATTTTTTCGACGTTCCTTTGCCCTGCGCTGATTATTACACGGATTTGAAATCGGTTTTAGATCAATCGATACGAATCATTCAGGTGAAAAAATTTTCCTCCCCTCGCCCCTCCTCCATCCCGCCCCTCTTCCGCCCCCTTCCGCAAATAATAATAAATAAATTTTCTTTTGGTTTTAGGCGATGATTGACATTTGCGCCGAAGAAGGGTGGCTGGCTTCCACTCTTCGCCTTCAAAACATGATGCAAATGGTTATTCAAGGCTCTTGGATTCGTTCTTCGCCGATTTTAACTCTCCCCCACGTTGAAGATTTTCACGTTAAATTATTGCAAAAGCGAAATCCGATAATGGCGACACTTCCGGGTCTCATAGATAAAACCACGAAAGATTATTACGCTCTGGCAAACATTCTCAGGCAAGATTTGTCCGAGAACGAAATCGAAGAGGTGAGAATGAATGAATGAATGAATGAATTTAAAGAATGCGAGAATAATAATAACGGATTAAAATTTTTTTTTGTTTACATTCGCTCAGATTCATAGAGTAATATGTTCGTTTCCGGTTTTGAGCGTTAAATTAAAAATTCGTTCCGGGGAAGAGGAAATAGACGTGAGACAACCCATGAAAAAAGACGATTGGATAAAATTACCGGCGGATTCGGAGCATTTCATAAGTTTGGACATGAGAAGAAAAAACAAAACGTATAACGAAGGAGGAGGGAGAGGAGGAGGAGGAGGTGGTGGGGGCGGACTCAAAGCGTACACGCCGAAATTTCCAAAGGGAACCGACGAGGGATGGTTTCTTACGCTGGGTTGCGTCGAAGATGGCGAATTGTTGGCATTGAAAAGAGCATCGAACGTGAGAGCGAACGGTTCGAATCAGAGTTTGTCATTCAGGACACCCACCCGAACAGGTTGGTTTAACTCAAATAATAATAATAATAATAATAATTAAATTACGAAAATGATTTTTTCTCTCTCTCTCTCTCTTAATTTTTCAGGTCGACACATTTTGACTCTTTACATATTCTCAGACTGTTACTTAGGATTAGATCAACAATATTCGATAAACGTAGACATTTTCGAAAACGAATAAACGGAAACGGAAATGGAAAAACAATTTACTGTAATAATAATAATAATAATGAATTACTTTATTTAATTACCGGAGAAAAAAAAAGAAGAAAAAATCGTAAATGATTGTGATGCTTTTATTTTTATTTTGTTATTGTTGTTGTTGTTAATAATATCGATGATGATGATAATAATAATGATGACGAGTATATTATATATCGTATTATTATTATTATTATTATTATATAAATTTATATATTAAAATAAAAATGTGGTATTTATACTTTTATTTATTGGTTGTATTCGAAGTATTATTACAAAATATATATAAACGTTTAGGTTTTTTTTTTTTTTTGGCAAAATAATAAATAAAAAGTTATCGATTAGGTAATAATAATAATAATAATAATAAATGACGAAATTTATACTAAAATAATAAACGAAGTTTATATAAATAATAATGATAATAATTAAAAAGTATAAATAGTTATATAATAAAGAGTATAGTATATGTTTTAAAATTGATTTTGCGCCATTTTTTTTTTTAAAAAAAATAATGAATCGATAAATAAATAAATAAATAAATAAATATTTTTATAAGAAAGACATATGAAAATTTAATTTCATAATAACATTGAGAGTTTAACAAATAAGACAAAATTTATTGTTGTTGTTGTTGTTGTTGTTGTTGTTGTGGGTTGTATTGATTAGGTTAACAATAATCAATATAAAAAAAAAAAAAAATGAAATTTATTAAATATATTTAATTTATCATTTAAATAGTGAGAGAGAGAGAGAGAGAAAATGGCTTCGTCATTAATCGTTAACAATAATAATAATAATAATTCGTATGGATATTATGAAATATCAACAAACAATAGGAAATTGTTACAAACTCATTCATTAAAAATTGACAAGATTTAAAATTTATTTTATTTTTTTTTTTTTAGGACTCGTTTTAATACAAAATAAATAAATAAATAAATTCATTCACTCATTGGTGGTTGTTTTCCTTATTTTATTTTTTATTACATAAGTTAAACAAATTTAAGGTAAGGTGTAAAATATATATGAGAGAGAGAGAGAGAGAAAAAGAGAAAGTATAATTTTGTTTAGAGGTCAGGGTCTTTTTCTACTTGTTTAGATGATTCAATTAACGTCGCCGAGGGGCATTATATATATTTAAAATAAAAAATTAATAATGATTTGTGTGTTTGACAATTGTTTATGTATATTATTTGGAAAAAAATTTTTTGGGGGGGTTTTATCCTAAAAGAATTCATAACTGAAACTCCTCCAAAAACTTTTGATTTTTTTGCAAATTTGCACATTTTGTGACACTTAAACTCATTGACGACAGTTTGAATTTGTTTATATTTAAATATTTTCGTCAAAAATTTATTTTTTGCTGTAGTTGACAAGTTTTTATCTTAAAAACTTTTTTGCTGAGCATTGCTTATAGGAACAAATGGAATCAAATGAAATACTTATTCTTTAATCAAAACTTTGCTTTTTTCTTTTTTTTAGGTATTTGGTACCTGTTTATTATTCTTTCTTTTTAATCTACTAATTTTTTTGAGGTAGATGAAATAATTAATTTCATTAATTATGTTTAAAGTTTCTATTTTGAGTAGCGCATCTACAAAATACTTCCATTAGACCACAGCAGTATGTGTTTGTGTGTGAGTGTGCGCAGTCGAACCTTCTGAAATAATTAAAAATGATGGCGTTGAAAACTACAAAATAAGGTAATTTATTATTTATTATATAATAAATGTATCGTTAATTAATTTTTTACGCGGAAAATGAAAACTAACAATTCAAAAACATTTTTTTTGATTTTGTCATTTATGTTTTCTCATAAATGGAAAATGGATTTTAGGTGAGTCGATTGTAATTTTATTAAAGAATTTTAAGATTTCATTTTCGTAATTATGACATTTTAATTTATTATAATTTTTTCTCAATTAGTTTATTTGATTAAATTATTTTAATTAACGTTTCTGTAATTAAATACTTTTCATTATTCGAATGAAATTTTTTTTTTAGTTTTTCAATATTATAAAAACCATAGACGTACAAATGTTTCAAAAGCGCGAAATTGCTGACGGTTGGGTAAAATATCGAACGAACCGGAAATAGTTAAAATTCCAATGGCGGTTAAAAGTAATTGTGCGGGAAGAGTAGTTGTGCGTACGGGTAAAGAAAATGTCGATTGTGGAAGTGTAAAAACTGGTTTTTCATCACCAATTAACGATGAAAATTAATGGAAAACTTATAAAAAAGGTATTTATCAACTTATCGGTAGTTAATTTTATTATTTTTGCACGTTATATAATAACTTTCTTTAACCTTTTTATTTTACCTGAGAATTTGATTTATTTCAAAATTGATTTATTGCATTTTATTTGCGATTTATACATTCAAAATGTCATTGAAATTTGAATGGGCTCATTTAATATGTGATTGTATTTAATTTTGGCACAAATATTGACTGATTTTTGATAACTATAATTTTTGGGACACGTGCTAAGGTCGACATGGTATACCCAATATAAATCAGTCAATTTTGGATGACTCCATTAAATTTGAATTAATTTAATAAATTAAAACAAATCACATTAATTTATAAAATTGTTAACATTTTTACAATAATTTAATGAACTTATCACATTTACATTCATTAAAAAATATGTATCTGACTTATTTTTCCAGAGGTAATGTATTTTAAGGATGAGATTGTATACTTTTATGTAATGTAGAAAGCAAAATGGTTCACATTAGCAGTAAGTTTTGTTAGTTTTTATGGTTCCTTAAAATAAAATGTATCAAAATTTAATATATAATTCATTTATCAAGAGAAATTTATCTATAAAGTTATACATTATGAAATTTTTCTAGTAAATATGTATTACTTTGTTGGAAAAAAAAAATGTCAAGAGTATTTTTTGTCGATGAAGGGATGCATTAAAAAGAACAACAGAAATATAAATTAAAATAGATATATATTTAAGAACATAACTTAAAAATAATTGTGAAAATTTACAATGAAGAACTGGTGGAAGAGATCCTGCTTATGTGATCTTAACCATGATAGGCATATGGAACAGCAGCAACTTTGGCAATTGGAGCAGGAGCATAAGCATATTTGGCAACTGGAGCGGCATAAGCAACTGGAGCAGCGACTACAGTCTTTTGAACAACTGGAGCAGCAGCAACAACAGCCTTTTGTACAACTGGAGCTTGACGATCGACGACAGCGTTGAATCCGTTGACTGGATCAGCAGTGTAGTGAACAGTTCTTCTGGAACCGTCTGGTTCGGTCAATGAGTACGATCCTTGAACGACGTCACCTTGTCTAGATTCTTCTTGGAATTTGCTGTCACCGGTGAGGTGGTCTTGAACGTCGTAGGCATAGCTGTAACTCGGGTTTGGATCGTAGTCGGTATCAACAGCAGCTGGTACGACAGCTTTGGCAGCATAAGCCAAAGGAGCTGCGTGAACGGCTGGAGCAGCATAGGCTACTGGACCGTGAGCTACGGTAGCAACTGGAGCACCGTATGCCAAACTTTTGTGAAGCAATGGAGCTCCTGGTGCTACAACAGCTGGGGCACCAATGACTCCGGCTCTGGCAACTGCGACAAGGGCAGCGAAAAAAACAAACTAAACGTAAAAGAAAAATTATTTTTATAAAATATTATTAAGTATTGTAAGAACAACAGGTTGAGTTAAGTTTGTTAATGAATAGTTTTTCATTGTTAGTCATTGTTTGTTAGTTGATAAAAGTTTTTACAGCTCTTTTTAACAATAAGTTAAAACAAATTCAATAAGTTGTTTCCTGACACCATCAGCATTTCAAGAGCAAAAATACTTTATTAATTCCAATAATAAATCCACAGTGCCTTAGCATAATTATTATATCACAATTGCACATTCAATCACAAATTTTCAAAAAAAAAAAAAATTATCACACTGATAAATAATCACAAAAATAATGCATTAACACAACACTTCACTTTGTCTTACCTTAAAGGCCATTTTTATTTTTTTTTTGTGTGTGTGTTGTTGTCGTGTACTACACTGTGTTCTGTGTGAGATAATTCTGTCTGTTTGAATTTTTACCCCGGTTTATATACCCGTTATAAAATTTTCATCCAATTGAGATGTATTCGCATGGTGTTTAACTTACGAATCCATACCATGATCCAGCCATTTCCCCAACATTTTAACATAGTCTTATATCACGCCCATGTGTAACCTGAGTGATGATTGCTTTGTTGTAGACGCAAGGTCCGCAAAAAAACAAATTTTTTTTTTCTTTTATCTCTTTTTCTCTTCTTTCTTCTTCTTCTTCTTTCTCTCTCTCTCTTTCTCCATCTCCTTTCACTCCCTCAACTATTTTTTTTTTTTTTTTTGGGTTTAAGGGCGTCTCATTGTTATCATTTTGTATGGCGGTCGGTTCCCCAATTTCTTTACAAGGTAATATTTAATTACTTATTCATATATATATTTGACATATAAATCAAATTCTTTCTTTTACGACGACATGATTAAAAAAAAAAATTTTTATTTATTTATTTAATTGATTATTTAATTTTAATTAATTATGACGTCACAAATGTTTGTTTTCTCGTCAAAAAAATTTTTTTTTTTTTTTTAAAATAAAAACTACGTAATCGTTAAATAAAAACAAAATGACGAAGATAAAAATAGGAAATAAAATAAATAAATAAATAAATCGTGAGTTTAAAAAAAACTTTATTTAATAAAATCATTGAAAATTGTTAAATAATAATAATAATATTAAAATTGTTTCATGTACTTTTCTTGCATAATATTTTTGACATGATATATATATATTTTATTTAAAAAAAAAAAAAAGTAAATCATGACTTTTAATAAAAATTCAAAAGAATTTCAATAAAACGTTATTAAAATAAAAATGATAATGATGATGATGATAATAATAATAATAATTTTTTCGGTTCGCCATTTTTTTTTTTTAAATAAATTTTTTTTAATTTTTTTATAATACGGATTTGATTTAACCGGGTTAAATAAATTTATTTATTTATTTAATATAACAAACGAATAATAATAATAATGATAATGATAAACGAATCGTTTTAATATATTGTTGTTTTCATTCATTGTTTTTAAAAAGTGTACTCTCAGTACTTTCTGCTGGAGGCCGCCATTTTGTCAATCGTAATAAATTCAGGTCAAAATAAATAACCGATAATGATATTTAAAAAAAAAAAAAAAAAAACGCCTTAAATTAATTAATAACGATTTCAAATTATTATTATTATTATCCCTTTTATTTACTTATATGTTTTCGAACGGTAGTTCTTTTTTTTAACATAAAATTTTTCCAGAAGGATTTTTAACTATTATTATTATTATTCTTCCAGGCATGAAAAAAATAGATCACTTTTACTTTTATTATGTGTGTATTGTGTAATTTTTTTTTTTTTTCGTTTTTCTACTGCTTTCAATGTTTTTACTTATTTTTTTTCCCGTATTATTATTAGTATTATGTTGCATGTACATATAAATTATTAATACGTAATAATAATAATAATTTAATAATAAATTTGATTGTATTTATCTTTGATAGTTAATAACACTTAACTTATGTAAAAATTTATATAGTATTTTAAATGTACAATTATCATTATTATTTATATTTGAATCATTGAATTGTGTAAGTAAGTATGTACGCAGCATCCTTTGAAATTTTATTACGTGCCGATGTAAAATAATAATAATAATAATAATAGTTGATTTTTTCAAAACCTTGTTATTAATTATAATTACGCGTAATAATAATTAAAATCATACGAACTTGAATTATTTTTTTAATTGTGAAATTATAATTAAATACTTAAACGAAAGAAAAAAAAACGAGTTATTATTATTATTATTATTAATGTACAGACGAGTAAATTAAAAAAAAAAAAAAAAATGTGAATGAAAATTTTATCAGAAAATCAATTTCAAAAAAATGCCATTGACATTTTCAAATAAAATTTTCATAGCGATGATGAGATAATAATGAAAAATCCCGCGAAAATATGTAAAATTACGTCGTCTGCTACAAAAGATGTTTGATAATATTTTCATACACGAAATGATGTTTCGCGTTGTCATTATTATTATTATTATTATTAATTAATTACTTATTTAAGAAAAAAAAAATGTTATTTTCTAACTATCTATATAATCTACGTATTTGTCCGTATTTTCGATGGAATTTATTATTATTATTATTATTATTATTATTTTAAATATTTAATTAGCGTGGTAACCTTTGACCTCTTGTTTTCGGTAATTAACAGGTGTCTAAGTTTTTTATCTTATCAAAAGCAACATTAAAAAAATTTAAAATCTCCGGCATTTATCAAAAAAAAGGTTTTCACACGTTCAAACACGGTTCGTTAAATTAATTTATGTTACAAAAAAAAAAAAAAATGGCGATAAAAGTTGTCGCGATGATAATAATAATAATAATAATAATAATAATAATAATAATAATAATAATAATAATAATAATAATAATAATAATAAGTAAACGGACGGTTAATTTTTATATTGTGTAATTTTTTTTTTTTTTTTCGGTTGAAAGGACGAAAAACAAAAATTTTAACATCGGTTAAATCGATGCATGGAATGAAAGAGATATTTATTTAATTATTAGGTACGAATTTGAAATTTGTCACTCATTACGCTGATTTAAATGACATCGGGTGTGGTTCGGTCTTTCAAAAAAAAAAAAAAAAAACCGTTTGGAAAGCAATGACAAATTCGACAAACTCTCCCTCCCTCCCCTGCCCCCCCCATTAAAACTATAATTGACGTTAATAATAATGGTAGAAAAAAATTTTTCATTGTTAAAAAAAAAAAAAAAAAAAATTCGACGTAAATCGTGATAAATTGTTAGCACATTCGTAATACTTCTTTAAAAAAAATAATCGTTTAAATATTCTGAAATTTTATTTCTATAATAATTAATTAAATTGCTCGTGTCAAAGGTCAAGGTATGAAGGACTAACTAAACTTTATTTATATGGGTCATGATTTTGATTCCGAATCGAAGCTTAACCTGTATTTGGTACCACTGTGAACTTTAAAAATTTTTACCCTACGGCGGTTACATTATATAAAAAAAGGAAGTGAAAGGAGGTGCGTATGTGCGTGAGTGTGCGTGTGCGTGAGAGTATTTGCCGTCTCTCAGGGCACCGGATAAACTTATCAAAACGAGCTTTAATCACCGTTTCAAAAAAACTTAATCGACCTGAATTTTCCATCAGTCAAACACTTATCGGGTCAATAGGTTATCGTGGTAGGTCAGTAATTGAGTGCTAAAATTTGGATGCGTCACCCTTCCCCGCCCCCATCGTATAAAAAATAATAATAATAATAAAATTTTTTAAAACCCTCTTGAGTTATGTTTATAATGACTGCAATAGAAAGAAAAATTTATGACGTCATAACGTTTTTAAATTCGTTTTCTTCCGAATTGATTTCTCTTGATGATTGTTTAACCGTTTTTATACTGTTTAAAAAATCTTCTCGTTTTTTTTTCCAATCCGTCACTATCATGGGACTCTGAAAAATTTTTTTAAATTCATTTTTTATTGTTAACGTAATTAATTAATTAATAATAAATTTGTTGTTGTAGGATCTCACCCCTGTTTTTTTACCATCGCTTTCTCTTTTCGTTTGTTCGATTTCATTATCGTTTGTTGTTAAATTTTTATATTCATCGCAAGATTCTTCGTTTGTCATTGTCGAACCGATAAATATTTGATTATCGCTTATTTTATATACGTCCAAACAACAATCCCCCGATGATGATGATGATGGTGATGATGATGATGATGATGCGTTATCACAATTTTGACTATTTATTATGTTTGTACTTAATTCTTCTTCTGTCATATCTAAAAAAAAAAATTTTAATTCTTAACGATTGTTTTAATTTTTTTTTTTTTTGAAATTTAATTAATAATAGTAATAATATTGTTATTTATATTGTTAATAATATTAAATTACATTTACATTAATAAGTAAAATTAATTGTGTTCATCTCATCTCAGAAATATTGTTCAGAAACTTACTTGTTATCAGTTTCAGCTTTTTGTACCTAAAGCCTTTTGTCTTCTGCTACTATTTTAAGCTATAAATTTACTATTTTTATAACTACTCAGAAACATTTATACCTTTATATACATAAATATTTAATTGTAGTCGATTTGTTATTGTAAAATAATTAACCGGAAACGCAAAAAAAAATTTTCAATAATTATATTTATTCAATCGACAGTAATGAAAAAAGAAAAAAGAAAAAACTCACCGTAAATTTTTTTTAAAATTTTACAAAAAATTTAATTTTTATTATTATTATTGTTATTATTATTATTATTATTTTGATTTTGATAGTAAACTAAATTTAGTTAAAAAACAAATTTTTTTTTTTTTTTTTTTTACTAGAAAATATGGAATTTTGTAAAGTGATTTTATTTTATTTTTTTTTTGTGGGTTAGCGATCGGGCTCCCTCCTTTTTTTTTTTTTTACATATATAAATTCTCATGGGATAAATGATTAATAAATTTAAAAATTTAGGGTTAATAAGTTTAATAAATTTTAATAAATAATAAAAATATTTTTAGGTTCCGTCGCGATAGTGGAGGATCCTTCTTCATACAAAAAAAAGGAATTTTTATTCACATGAGGAAATTAAAACAAGGATAATTAAAGTATGTAAGTGAGATTTAATTTAATATTACCGCATACAACAACAACAACAACAATAATAATAATAATTTCGTAATTTTGTTTTTGATAAGGATTTGAAAAAAATTTTTTTTAAAGCGATATCATTGCGTGTAAAAAAATTTAAAATTTAATTATCGCACGTGTAAAAATTATTATAATTTATTTTTTTCGACGTTTCGAAAAACCCCTCGGAAAAACTCGCGAAAATGCCTTTTCTTTTTTTTTTTTTAAATGAAATCGGACCTTTGCGTCAATCATTACTTTCAAAATTAACATTGACATTGTATTTTTTTATTTATTTTTACCATCGGGTTTCATACGTTCTCGCCAAAAATTTAAATTTAGCAATAGTATTAGTAGTGGGGGTGGTAGTGGTAGTAGTAGTAGTAGTGGTGGTGGTCGTAGTGGTAGTAGTAATAAAAAAAAAATTAAAAAAATAATATTGTGTAAATTTATTACACAAAAAAAAAAAAAAAAAAAAAACGTGATCACGTTTCGAACCGATTACTTTTGTTTTTTTTTTTTAAATACAAAGAAAAAAAAAATTGTCGCATTTTTAAAAATATATGTTAGCTAAGTGAATTTACGCAATAATGATAATGATGATGACGATAATGATAATAATAATAACGAGAGCAAAGACGGCAAATTCGATATGCGGAGATAAAAAACATAAATAAATAAATTTATTTATTATTATTATTATTGTTATATCTTTATAATATTTTAAATGGGGTCATAAGGAAAATTTTTCAATTTTTAGTTTTTAGAAAATCAAAACAAGATTAAAATTTTTTTTTTTCTTGTTTTTGCTGAACAAATATCTGATCGTTAAGTTAATATAAATTCAAGGCGGAGTTTTTTTTATATTCATGAAGTATAACGACTCGTAATATTTTTTTGCGATTCCTTTTTTTTTTTTTTTTTTTTTTTTTTTTTTTTGTTATGAAACGATAAATGTAACGTTCCTGGTATTTGAATTATGTAATTGTTTCGTGGGATAAAACGGAGGGTTTTGAAAAATTTTCAAAAAGGTTGAGATTTGTTATAACGTCATAACCGTGACGTAATGAATTCGGATTAAAATATTTTCGAACGTGAACGATAAGTTTGTTTTAGCTATTGCAACTAAAATTTTTTTTTGTTTTAAGTTTAGCTACGGTAAACAAAATATTTATAAAAGAGGATTGTTATGTTGGTTGATTGTTGTTGTTGTTGCTGTTGTTGTTCTAGTTGTTGTTTTTGTTGTTGTTGTTCTAGTTGTTGTTTTTGTTCTAGTTGTTGTTTTTGTTGTTGTTGTTGTTCTAGTTGTTGTTTTTGTTGTTGTTGTTGTTACTGTCGTTGGTTATTGAAATTTTTTGTTTATTATTGTTGCGTATATTCGTAGTGCTGGACATATTTTTACTTGTAAATTTTTGCAATCGTTTGTTGTTTTAGTTTTTGTTTGTTTTAAACATCGCTGACGAAATAATAAACATTAAAACGAATTTTTTCGGTAAAAAAAAAAAATTTAGGGACTGTCGTAGGTTGTGAAAAGTTTAAAGCTAACAATTTCCGGAAAAATTGTATCGTCGTTCAAAACCTTAAAAATAATAATAATTGTAGATAGAACACATTTTTTTTTTTTTTTAAATCAAATAAATATCGCGATATTTTGATTTTTCTCATAAACCAATAAAAGTATAAATGTCGGTTTTATCGATGTATCGATCGATAAATCGAAACGTTAATTCGAAAAGGAAAACGTTACCTCAAAACTTTTTTGACAAAAGAAAATTTTATTGTTATTGTTGTTGTTTTATTCAATGAAATAATAATAATAATAATAATAATAATAATAAACCTTGAATATTTTAATTAATCGATATAATAATAATAATAAAAAACTTCACCTGTTTAAAAATTTGACAGAAATTAATTTTTCACGTTTAAACGTTTTGTATTGTTTATTTCAATGACTTCCAACTTGCGTTTTATCGATTATTATTATCATTATTATTATTAATTTTGTCGATTCGAAAGTTTATTTATTTATTAAGTAATTAAATTTGTAAGGTAAAAAAAAAAAAAAAATTATTGTTTTTTAAAATTTCACACCTTCGAGCGATCGATTAATCGTTGGCAAAACTTTTAGTCACGTTAAATGAAAGTTTTTTTTTCAATTGTCATAGAGTAAAAAAAAAAAAAAAAAATTTTTAATTTCATCGTCAAAAAGTATAACGCGTCATATTGAAAAATGAAAGGTTTTTTTTTTAATTTTCGTTTTGGAGAAAAAAAAAAGGGGGAAAATGGGAAAAACAGAAAAATCACGTGAAAATAGAAAAAAAAAAAAACCTTGAATGTTTTTGATGCAAGTCAAATAATAATAATAACAGGACTGCCCTTAAGTGGGTGTCTTACCACTCATTAATTCGTGACCCGGGGTCGAGGTTTTTTTTTTTTTTTTTTTTTTTTTTTTCCCTCCATTTGATACGAATCTCTATGATTTAATTTTGTTGTTGTTGTTCTTTTGCGAACAAAAAATCATTATTTTGAATTTGAATTTAATTTAAATTTTATGAATTCGTGTAGGAGGAGGGGAAAAATTATTTTTATGGAATCGTTTGCTCTTATTTCCCCCCTCCCCACCCGATCAATCTTATATTTAAATTAATGAATAGTCCTTGACTGAATTTCGAATGAAGTTTGAAAAATGTCACTTCATCGTTGCGAATGCAACGGTTATGTTTTATTTCATCGGGATAAAATTTTGATACGTTTAATTTATTACCGAGATATAATAAAAGTCATTATTCATCTCTGTCGTGTTTCTGCAAGTTTAACGATTCCTACGAAAAAAAAATGATTTCGGGGTGGGAGACGGCGGGGAGGAGGCCTTGTACGTATTTTTATTTTGGGGGGCACCGCGAGTTCGATTTGGTTAGCAAGGTGACGTTATGTATGCTCCCGTCGTTTTTCTTTTCTTTTTTTCCATCGCGTCATTGTTTAAAAAGTGGGTCGCGAAATTAATACATGGAGTTGTATTTGATGTAAAACGTAAACGTAATTTCGACGATTCATTCAAAACGTTCGGTTATATATATATATTTATTAAATTAAAAACGCGCGAATTCTCACAAATTTAAAATTTTTTAATAATAATAATAATAATAAGTTTACAAGGATTTGAATTAATAAAATCATTATGGACAAGTTTTTTTTTTTTTGCGGGAGGGGGGGGGGAAATTTAAATATTTTAAAAACCTGTCGATGAATTCGAATTAGCCTTGTGGTCAACACCTGTTTAATTAAATATAATTTTATTGATTAATTACCATTAATAAACAAAATTTTTCTTTATTAATAATAATCGTTGATAACGAGTAGTCAGTCGTTTTATTAAAATCAAGTTTTTTTTATCAAAAATTATTAAAAATAAAAATGTGATGATTTTTTTAAAAAATAATTTGTATTATAAATATCGAATCGAAAGCTAACGTAAAACGATTTTTTATTAATTTTTTCCAAAGGGAAATAAATGCGTGTGCGTGTGTGTGCGTGAGGGAAAGCGGGAAAAATTTTATTATTAAAATTAATTAAACTCATATGATTTTTTACTTATTATTATTATTTTCATCATAATTGCATGAATTACTATATATTTAATAAGTTTTTTCGAATCGATAATAATAATAATAATAATAATATTTTTTAATGGTTTAAAATAATGCCAGAAAAAATTTTTTTTCGGCCATCTTACCTTGGATAACGCGACGATAACGTTTTGAATCTATATATGTGTATACTTTCAATCGATTTCGATTTATGTACCACCACCGGAACGCGTTACGCGTTATTTTTTTTTTTTTTTTTTTTTTTTTTTTTTTTTACGTCTTGGGTTCCCACACGTTGCAAACGAGTAGTAGTAGTTGTCAACCTTGAATATAATATTAAACTCGTATTATTGCCGGTAACTTTTAATTTATAATAGATCATTGTAGATTGTAGATTGTCGACGATGTATCGTATAATTTAAAACAATATATAAAATTCTGTCGTATTTGCATGAATTTCCCGGGTAAAACAAACGGAAAAAATGGTTCATTCGTCTTTTTCCCTTTTTTTTTTTTTTTTTTTTTTTTTTTTTTTTTTTTAATAAATAAATTTACCCCAATCGAAATAA